CTTTGCGCCTGACTGAATGAATGGAATGGAACTGTGAGCGTTATCAAAACAAAAAATTGGATTGATAAAAAAATATATTTTCAAAGTAATCTCGGTTCGATGGACCAATGTCGCGTCTTCGAATACTTAAAAAATAATAAAAATGAAAACAAGAGTGGACTGTAAGAATTGTGGCATAAAGCGAACTCACCGAATTCCTAGCACAAATCCCTGCTTCTGAAAGGGCCCCTTCTTAGAGTGTTCTATCTTCAGCTTCACTGGATTGTACAACAAAACGGGAAGTTAAAATGAGTTACCAAACAGTCGAAGATGACACAGAGCCTAGAGCACACACGGTGAAATAAGTAATTAGCAAAAATAATAGCGATTCACGTAGCGTACTTAGCATGAGATAGTAGGTAGGTCTCTATTCATGTGGTTTAGATAGATGAGCATACTTCAATTGAGTTTTGAACATGCGCCCTTAGAAGTCGCTCCATGCCAACAATAATAATACTAATAAAAATAGAAAATTACAAATAAAGACGCAACACTGCTTCAATTCATTGAAGAATGTGGTGTAATTCATATGGTGGTTTTGACTATCCACCCTGTAGCTCACAATTCTACACTTGAAAGCTGTGCCTACGATTTTAACCCCCTCTCCATAATGCACACATGCATTCGTTCTATGCTGCAAGGTTCTCCGATGTACATTCATCTGATCACTTGAAATTGTCAAATTGCAGCACTGGCAAGTCTGCATTGGCGGAAGTGCTGGGGGATTCAACCTAAGCCTCTTCGAGGTTGGTGCTTCTCCATTATTCTCGGTTGATGGTCCTTCAAAATTCATCAATGTACAGGAATCGCACTGATGACGACGCAGGTTGTCATTACGTGTGAAACTTTTCCCAGTCATTGCACATATACATTTTGTTTGAAATTATATAAACCGTAAGATTATGAGTAGAATGCGAACTGAGTGATACATTCACACCACACTCCTAATAAAAGTACATTCCCCCACCCCTCCACTCCGACAAGATGAAAATGACGGAGTCGAATCTTAAACTACATGTTCAAGGTTATATGACATGTATATATCTCGAGATCGTGGGACACCCTCCAAGGTCGAACCTCAAGGCTACGTACCAGGAGTAGTCTGAATTCTTGAGGTCAATCGAAGCACAAGTATAAGGCCATGTGTCGAGAACATAATGTATAAGGTTGAGATCATATGATGTGATATCAATCAAGGTCAACCTTGAATCTCAAGGTTGAACCGCATGTTCGATTCAAGGTCAAACATAGAGGTCACGTATCGATCAATGTTGAATCTCAAGGTCAAACCGCATGTTCGATGACATATTGAACGTGTATAGATCAAGGTGGTAAAGTATGAATTTGTTTTCGAGGTTAGACTTCAAGGTCACCAACTGGGGGTAGACCCAAATTTCAAGGTCAACACCCATGTTCGAGGTCCTATCGTCTGACACGTATCTCTAGGTCATATGACGTCATTCAAGGTCGAGATCAATTGATGGGGGGAGGTCCTCAAGCGGCCTTAGCATTCTACTATCATCTTTCTTGAGAAAAGTTATTTATAATTCAAGCTAAAAAAGTACTGATTTCAACAATGATTTGATTTTCAAATTGAAATATTGAAATATATTATTGTTTCATTAGACAACCTTTGTTCTTTAAGGTCAAAACACAAGCACTACAGGAAAATCCTTTAGGAGCTCCAAGAGCGGGGCCTGAGCGAAAGTAGCGATTCATAGTGGATTTGAATCGCTGCCAATTAAATTCATTTGTAAATCGTTCTCAGGAAGTTTATCCCACTCAAACGCAGGTGAGTACCGATTCATAATTGATTACCTTCGAACCATATCGTAAATTCCTCTAGAAGACCTTGGAAATAACATCTTGTTAACATTAAAAATTTATTGCGATATCGCAGAGACACCTGCAACCTTCCTCAGGAAAACGTGCCTGATAGATAACTGTCAACGTCTACACGACGATGTGATATCGCTGAGATTAGTGATGGGCACGATCGAATTAATTTGATATTCGAATAATGTGTATTCGTGTGATCTGAAAAAATCGAATTATAATTTGAATGATAAATTACTCGAATACTACGTCATTCACTGATATAATTTCAACTCGAGTTTCAAGATCCTACCGTGCTCGAATATATGTCACATTGTTATAATTTGATGAATATTGAGACAGCTTTTTTACATGCCGTACCATTATTATTTGTTTTCATTTCTTTTAACCTAACCCTTAAAGAAGAGAAAACAAAAGAGAATGAACTATTAAAAATACTTTGACCGAAATATTCGGATGTTAGTTGAAAACATTGGAAATAATACCAAAATAATAAGAAAAAATATAAAACGTAAAAGAAGGGAAAAATTAGAAATGAAAATGAACTTAACTATACACGATACAAAAGATATAAGTAAAACCTCACATTCAAACCAAAACATCGTTATTGATAAAATATTTATAGAAATATGGTGAGGAAAGGAAGGCAAAGATGAAAGATTAACCAGAGAACGATAATGAATGCTTACACTAAAAAGGTCCGAGAATTAATTTGATTTCAAATTATTTTCTTTTCTACGTCTCTTGCCTTGTTGACCATCATTTCATTTCTCATTATATCACAATACTTTTCAAACCGATAATATCAATTCATTTTCATTTCCAATTTCATTGAATTAACTTTCTTAAAAATTAGTTTTTTCAAAGTTATACATTTTATACTCACCCATTCTTTGATTTTTTCAGGAAATCATCATAATATTTCAGATTTAAACAGTAAGTGTGCTGTGTAGTGAACTATGTCAATTAGCTGACTAATGGTACTGATACCATCGACATAACGGTGGTCATTACCATAGAATACTCTGTGTCAGGGCCAGTGCTGCCGTTAAGGTACTATTATACCGCATTCAGTACTATTCCATTATTTTGATACGAAGGTACTACCCGGATCAGTATGTAGACTATTCGGTACTATTTACTATACTCTCATTTTTTTACATTTTCACGTTGACTCTTATCGAGTACAATGAAAAATAACCACAATATGTATGGCAACAATGCAATTCCGTGTTTCAAGTCCCAGATCAGCAAATACCGTATTTGCAGATTATACTTGTATAGTATACTATGGTACTTGTGTCAAAATTGCGAGCTGTCATCACAACTCTGCGTTATTTAATCCTGTGTTCCGTGTTGTGTCTGTGAACTGTGGTTCTGTCATCTGTCAGTCAGACCATCAATACTACCTATTGTGAATAGATTTTCATTCATCAATATTGGCAAAAATGACTCAGGTTTAGAGTGGTAATTACTCGATTAATTCAAATCGGATAAATTAGAAGATATAGAACAATTAATGAATTATTTGAATAAACAGAAAAATGGGCTTGGTGAACCACCTTTTAATAATTTATTACTTTTACTAAAAGTAATCGTAACATTGCCTCACAGTAGTGCTGTAGCAGAAAGAATTTTTTCTGATTTAAATTTGATCAAATAAAAATATAGAAACTGAAATGACTTATGCGCATGTGCTATGCCTAGGCTTGCGTGGTACATTTTGGGTACTATTTTCTTGTAAATTTCGGTACTTTACTTTTTGAATTGACGTTGGCAGCACTGTCAGGACTGTTAGTGTCAATCAAATGCATGGTTGCATAGTCTACAAGTCTACTACCTACTCAGTCTATTGGTGTGTTTTCGTTGACAACGATTTAAAATATACACGTGCTTTTGTATATTGGAAAATAATTGTTTTTGAACTGGTTTATTGTAGTAGCTTGCTCCAAAATGAAAATAAGCGAGGATTTGTGTCGTAATATGCAAAACTTTTCAAAAATCAACGAACAATTTCGCGTTGCTTTCGAGGTAAAATTTGAGTTCTAAGTTAACCTCACTTTGTGTTCATTTTGATTTTAATATTTCCAGAATGCCGAGAAAAACCAAAATTTGAGTGAAAGTGAAAAGTATGAGAACCTATTCCATTATCTCTCGTTGGAGCTGTTTCTCTATCCCCAATATTTTGAGCAAATTGCTGAAGAATTCTCAACAGAACTTCCAAAGCTGCTTAACACTGCTCTATTCAATAAGGAAGATCAAGTGGATAACCACAGACACATTTTGAATTGTGTTCTACTTGGAAATATTCTGAGGAAAAGAAGGGATTTAGAAGGGTAAGTTAATCAACCTGTGTATGGTAATTCTTCCACTGCACAACAATTTTCCAGGAATTGTTCGAGGACAGCTTAAGGTGAATTTATTTCACTCCTCATTGTTCATGCTGCCAAACTTTCTTAGACTGAAAAGTTTACCATATTGCAAGAATGTTTTCATTTAAAATTTGAACTAATATGAAGGAAGAATATTGAACTCTAAAACTACTCAACTGATTTTATAAATTCTTACACCTATGGAAAACTACATTATCAACAAGTAATTTGGGCTGTATTTTATTTTCAACAAAATTGGAGATTCCTGTAATGATTACATTAATGTAACACAAGGTATCTAAAATTTGTCTACAATTAATTCGAAGGATTTTCTTTTAAAGAAAAAAACATATTTGTACATTTCAGGCAATTGACTACAATTGAATGAATTAAATAAGAAAACAAGGTGTATAAATAATTTCGCATATGATGCAATGCTAAGTAAGCAGGCTGGATCGGCTAACAACCTGGTCTGGGAACATGCATCTGTAATGATACCGTTGTACTATCAGTTCCTGATATAACTCCTCCCTCCTCAAATTTTGACTTCGGCTGGAACAAGGTCCAAGGCGAATTTTTAAGTTCTTTTCCTTCAAATTTCACTTTCAATTCGTAGTTTGGTTTCTTCCGTGGATTTTGAATTTTCCTGAAGGTGTAGTAGGCCAAAATAAGTAAAATAAAGCAGATAATTGTCCATAGAATCAAATCGGTTGATATGCCTTCTATTGATAGTTGATTTGTCGCATCAATATGTCTCTGAAGTTGATGGATATTTTCCAGTGATATATTTTTTATTCTTAAAGCTTTCTTTCGAGTGTCTCAATCCTTAACACTTCATTGTTGATTTTTGGCAAGACAAATAGTTTTCCAAAATATGAATTTTGGCGGTTTTCGAATTTATATCGTTTGAATTCGAAATTGCAATAGGTTGGAATTCATAGACTGTGAAGAATAATTCTTTGGGAATTTTGATTTTATTTTTATTTCTTCTGGGGTGATAACGATAATATATTCCTCATTAATTTTATTGATTATTTGGGTGGGCGGTTGTATCGGCATCTGGGGGCACCTAGCATCCTTGTCGTGAATAAGGGCGGCAATTCAGTATTTTTCTGGGTGGAAACTCAAGTTTTCTTGATTGCAGAGGTATATGTCCAAGATTTGTGTACAGGGTTGGTCCATATATTGGAATGTTTCTTCTCCGAGAGCCAAGTAAGGTTTTTTTGGGATTATTATGGTATTTGTTTCAATTGGGATAGGAAACAAATGGAAATATTGAAAGATTTTGGGATAAACTATAGGAAAATCTATAGCAAAGATAATTAAATTTTTTGAAAAATGACTGAATGAATGGACATCTAACTGAAGTATTTCATGAGGACTATAGTGATTGTGAAGCTCAATAATGATTTCTTCCAAATTTTGACTTGTAAAAATATAAGGATGAACTGTATGTAATTTTGCAAAAGTGATTGCGTTTTCAACGTTATCAAGAAAGGTGATGATTACATTTGCATTTAAAAATATTTGATCTAGCATACTTGAATACACAGTATATTTATAAAATTGATCAGTTAGATTGATCAAAGGTGGTTTATAGGTTTCAATGTATTTAGAAATCTTTCTGATTTTTTATAATTCTTTTTTTGAAAAGAGAAATTTGTGAATTAACTTCTTTTAGAATTTTCTGTTGATTGCTCTTCAAAGTTTCGATTGCCTTGTGATATCGCTCTCCATCGGATGCGTCTAAGTAACCAAAAAGCCATTTTTTGATTGTTCTTCCAACATTTATTAATCTTCGTTTTTGTCAAATCGTGGGGGTATTCCAAATATGTTTGAGTTTATATGAAATTTCGAAAATCAGTGGCTTTAAATGTTCGTATTTATTTGCCAAACTCCTAAAGTACATCTGTTCATTGCTTGATATCTCATTTAATTTATTACAGTTCTTTATTAAATTTTTTATTTCAAGTTCAAGGATACTTAAATCAACATCGTTGAGAAAAATATATTTTTTTTTTACAATTTTTGAAAAACCAAGTTTTAATGAAAGGATTCTGGGGGGAAAGACTTATTGTTTTTATTTCAATTTCTGGATTTGCCCTGACCATTGCTTTTAAGATCAGGTGGTTCAGGATTCTCAGGTTCATCATTTTGAGCCTGTAACAAAGGTGGCTTTCTTAATTCTTTTATGTGAATTATTTCAACCTTTCCTTTTTTTATTTTTCATTTCTACGTTGTTATGTTCTAAGATTTTTGTAATGGTCAATGGTCCTAAAAATTTATTGTTCTTTTTATTTCTGTTTTTGGGATTTTTCTTGAAAACTTTCTGATTGATTTTAAATTCCTCGTTTGTCTTACCTTTAATGTTTGTTTTTTCCAAAACTTTTTCATAAACAGGGGTTAGTTTTCCATTGTGTATTTGTACATATGTTGTAAAACATTCTTTGGGGCTGAAAATGTCTTCTGGACTTCTTGAATTTGTATGACCAAATATTAATTCAAATGGGGTAAAACCAGTTGAACTGTGAATTGAAGTATTGTAGTCTAATATGAATCAAATAAGATCTGTCTCGTTAGGGTGTATTTCTTTCAAAATTCGTAGATGTTCGATTAAGGTGGAATGAACTTTCTACAGGGCCGTTGGATTCATGGTATCCAGGGATGCCAAAAGAAGTAAAATACCTTACTAAAGCATTACAAATGTAAATGACTGATTTGCCAGCTATTGGTATCGCTTGAGCGAATTTGGAAAAGAGTCACTAATTGTCAAATATTTGTTTAAAGGTGGTTGACAATGTTTCGTGGTGTATTTCATCAGTTCAGACTACCATTGTCTAATACAATATAAATTGATTCAAAATCCCTGAAAAAAATGAAAAAGATCAACCGAAAATAACAATTTTATTAAACAATAAACTGAAATTACAAAGAAATAGCATACAAGCTACACCGATGTATGAACTAAGAGGCCATTGAAAGTTCGCATTGCTGAGCACAAGAAACATACACAGCGAGGAGAAACCACCAAATCCGGTGGACTCATCAACATAATATCAAGTGGGCTCAAGCTGAAATCATCCACAAAGAGGTACACTGGTTTAGGAGAAAATTCAAATAAGCCGCGTATATGTTCAAGCCAGCATAGAGATACGTAACATATGGAAACCTCTAATCAAGCGAAAAACGACCAACTCACGCCAAACGGTAATCTCCCGCTAAATCCAAAGAAGCGGAGGGCGGGAAGAGGGGATAGGTGAAAGCACTCGAATGACCTATAAATAGTCAGATCTCGGATAAATTTTTTTCAGGGATTTCAAATCAACTTATATTATATTAGACAATGGAAGTCGGAACTGACGAAATACAATAATTGTCAAATATATTTGGGCGTCGAAAAAGAAAGCATCAATGTGAATTTTGAAAAGGTTTTGAAGGAATGTTACTGGATTTTTTTCCCAACACCAAATCGTTATTTTTAACAACTCGACACGTGTTTTGATCACTAAGTGATCATCTTCAAGAAGGAGGAAGGAGGCTTAATCTTTCTCTTGAAGATGATCACTTGGTGATCGAAACACGTGTCGAGGTGTTAAAAATAACGATTTGGTGTTGGAAAAACTCCAGTAATATTCATTACTACACCAAAGGTTCCGAACAGTGCATCACAAGGTTTTGAAGGAGTTTTATGTCAAAACTAAATATCAAGAGGATTTGTTCGTCATGACCCTTTATAGTGTTAACAAGTTTTGTACACCTGATTAATTTCAGAGTCTGTTTACTAAAATTTTCACGCTTTACATAAGTACCTGATAGCCCTTTTCTGCAAGACAAAAACCGACTGCATAAGTTGTTTACTGCAAACACCCCAAAAGGGTATACCATACCATAGATGAGAGTCTATTAAGGCATTGTACACTACTTTCGCTGCAGCGAACCCCAGTTCCTTCGAGATATTTCTCAGTGCGAAACATCCTGATGCCAATTTTTTGTTGATGTATGCAATATGCTGAGAGAATTTTAAATTTTCATCTAAATAAATTCCCAAAAATTTCAAAGTGGAGTTATTTTTTATTGTGTTATTTAAAGGAATATCAGATATATTACACTTGAATGCCAATATATTTGTTTTGCTAGTATTCAATGATAGAAGATTCGACTCAAACCAATTCTTCACTTTTTTCATGTCTTGGCACATTTTGTTATGCAATCTGTTTTTGTCCTTGTCATGCCACACTAATGTGGTGTCGTCAGCCAATTCAAACGCCAACGGAATAAAATCATCTAAAAGAACAATTCGTTCAGGCCAGTCTCAACACCCTACACAGTAGGTTAATGGACTGACACCTATCAGAAAACAACTACTCCCCTGGCTAATACCACGAAGGGCGTTGGATTATATCCGACAGGTGTCAGTGCAGGATTCTTCACTGAAGTTATTCCTGCATATGCTGTTGGCGATACAACTGCCGCAATAGATTTTCAATTATCGGAACACACTTGCAGACCGGTTTCGGGCTGTTTGGCCACTCGTCAGTGCAAGGTAGTGTATATCATCAACATAAAGTCGATGACTATACGTGAAAGCCAACGGAATAGTTTGGAATTTGGTTCTCGAATATTAAAAAACCATGTTAGTGGGCGGTGGTCACATACAATTGCAAAGGGTCGTCCAGAAATGTAAGGTCTGAATTGTTTACAAACCCAAACTATCGCAAGAATCTCTCTTTCGATAGTGCTATAACGTTGTTCAGTCTCATTTAATGTTCGCGAAGCATAAGCGATAGGTTTGTCTTGGCCAATATTACCTTGTGAAAGGATTGCGCCTAGGGCTACATTTGAAGCGTCTGTGATCACTATAAATTCTCGTTCAAAATCGAGGTATTGAAGTATAGGGCCGTTACATAAAATTTTCTTACTTGTTTCAAAACTTTCGATAAAAGTTTGGTCATGTATTATTTTTGAATTTTGTTTTAGAAAATAAAATAGGTATTGATTTTCTGGAATTTATTTTAGAGAACTATTTTGGACAAGAAAATCTCCAGAAAATCAATGAGTTCTTTCCGGAATACCTATTTAATTTGGATGTTTTGTGATTTTATATTATTATATATCAAGTTCTTGTTACAATACTGTATAATTTTGAGTAATTTTCGGTGTTAACAAAAAGTAAAAATAACTTTGCACCAAAAACTTTGAAAATTATTTTACTCTTTAAAAAAATTCACTGTGGTTAACATCATAGCATTGAAATTTTTTTATGAATATAATTGAAATGGGTATTGAAGTTCAGAAAGTTATCCAACTGGAAGCCCAAATACTTGATATTCGATACAATTTCAATTTGTTCATTATTGATGTTTAGGTTATATAAAGATATTTGCTATTGGTAACTAACTCTTTCTGGCAGATATTCATTGAGGTGAAAGAAGAAATTAACAATCATTGAAGTATGGCATTAAAAAATTTTTAATTTGAATCTAGTGAAGACAAATTTTATTTATACCTCACAGGAAAGGTCTTTTCTTAATAGTTTGATAAGCGTATAACAGTACGTTTTAAGATAATTCATCGGCAATTATAATAATTCGACTTACTTTCTTTCTGTTGGAGAGGAGTATACATATTCATCAGCTCTTCACCATTTTACCAATTACAATGGCAACAATAGTTATACAGTTACAAATATTTTTTAAAGAGAAATTCTTAGTTTGACTCATGATCATTTCACAAAAAGTGGTAAGCCAAATTAACTTGAAAGTACCAAATACCTTGGATATAATGGTGCTTTTCATATTTTATTCTGACCTTTTGCATGTACACAATTCTTCTCTTCTGGGTTCAGTACTTACGTAATCATGGATAAATACTTGAAAAGGGTTTAACAAAGTGAAACCTGTCATAAAAAATAAAAATCTTAGTAGAAATTAGACAAAAGTTATTTTCTTTATCCTATATTCAATTTGAATTTCTATAAAATAAATAGGTCATCAGTGAAACAAGATAAATATGTACTTATTTCCTCTGTAGTAGATAGAAACTCAGACAAAGCACTGTAATTTGAGGTAAATTGTATTGTCTTCATTAAAATATATATGTTCACATGGAACCTACAATTAGATAATATAATATCATATAAAAACACTTTCATTGAGTAGTAAGTATATATAATGTCTCTCATTACTTCATAATGCAGGGAATATTTGCAGAAACCTCTATATTTTATTTCCCAGCAGAAGTTTTGTATTCTGAGTTATTCATACATCTGAAGATGTTTTTTCCCAACAATTATGGCTTTAATTCATTTTTTGCAGATATGCTTTAAAATATTTTAATTCACATCCATCTGGTTTCGAAAATGAATACTCTGATCTTATTAAGAAACGAATATCACCTTTGGAGATAACTGTTGGTGATTTGGAAATTGTTGACTTCTCTTATTCCCTATTGAAAAGTAATCCAGATTTCTACCGAATCAAATGGAATTGGTCCGTTTTTATTGGAAAATATCTTGAACATGAAGAAGCTCAAGTAAGGTGGTGAGTATTAAAAATTAATTAATTTGGTAATTAGTAATTCCTTGTTTGAAAGTATGTTGTGAATTTTGATATAACTGGAATACCAATACTATTTAATACTTTTTTATGCAGGTTAACTTGTCAAACAGTTGCAATTCTTTATGGTATGAATGAAGGACGTGCTGAAAAACTAATTCAGAGTAGGGTGTCCCCCAATTTGGCTACAAAATTTGACTGTGCTCTGGCATCTCAACTTTCAGTTTTTGAAAGTCCACTTGAACCTCCTCCCCTTAACAAAATGCCGTGGCTTCCAAGACCAGAAGAAAGATATGATGACTTAATCAATATTTCTGGTGTATATATTCCTGTCGTGAGAGCAAGCTCTATCATAAATACATCTTTAATCGAGGTACCATCTACGTGCAACAATCTCCGTAAAATAGCTCTAGGGCTTACTTTAAATAGGGCTGTTTGTTTGCAAGGGCCTGTCGGGTCAGGCAAAACAAGCCTTTTGGAATATTTGGCTCTAAAAACAGGTAGAAAGTTGGGTGAAAATTTCATAAAATTGCAGTTGGGAGATGAAACAGACAGTAAGATGCTACTGGGAACATATAGATGTACAGATATTCCTGGAGAGTTTATTTGGCAACCCGGTGTTCTGACACAAGTAAGAATCAATTTGAAAAGAATTTAAGTAATATATTTTTCATTGAAATTCTCGATTTTATGACAATTATAATTCAAAGTTCATTAATGAAATGTAAACATTTTTCCAGGCCGTACTTGAGGGAAACTGGCTTCTGCTTGAAGATATAGATTCTGCTAGCATGGATATAGCTTCACTATTATCCAGTTTACTAGAAAATGGCAATCTAACAATACCAGGTTACAGAGATGCAGTGCCAATCACCCCTGGTTTTCAGTTATTCCTTACTCAAAGGTAGCTATGAATATAGCAAGTATAATTATTTAAACACTCTTTTTTTACAGATTCCTTTCAACAATAACTGGGCATCACAAGAAGAATTCCAACTCTATGTTGCTTTTGGAAAAGAAAATGTTGCAAATCAATGTGGATCCTTTAACCGTTGAGGAGCTTAAACAAATATTAGAAAGTAATTTTAAAGAATTGCGAACTATAACTGACAGAATGCTGAACGTCTTTTTACTTTTTCACAAAAACTCATCTGATTCCTCCCAAATTTCTATACCCAGCAGTGGTCGACTAATATCTACTCGTGATTTCTTTAAATGGTGCTCACGAGCTATTATAGACTTTGATATTAAAAGCCAAGCAAGTGCCCTTAAAGTACTCCAAGATGCAATAGACGTATTTTGCTGTTCTTATTCAAACTCTGAAGAAGCTTTAAATCTAGCCAAACAAATAAGTACCAACTTGGGAATAATCAATCAAAAAGCTGAATACTTTTTTAGGAGTTATAAACCAACTATGAAACTTACAACTGACAGTTTCATTGCTGGTCGTGCAATTTTAAAACGAGAAAACAATCAGTATACAAAAATGGAGAAGTACTCCTTTACTAGACCATCTGCTGTCTTATTAGAACGCATAATGTGTTGCATTCACTTACGAGAGCCTGTTTTACTTGTTGGAGAGACTGGTACTGGAAAAACATCTTGTGTACAGTATTTAGCCCACACTGTTGGTCAGAAATTGATTGTTATTAACATGAACCAGCAATCTGACTCTGCAGACCTACTAGGTGGGTTTAAACCTATCGATTTGAAGATAATTATATCACCTGTTCGCAAAGAGTTTGAAGAAGTGTTTGTTGACTATTTCAGATTGGATCTGAACAGAAAGTACCTCAATAACATTGCTGCTTCATTCAGCAATCAAAAGTGGTCAGATGTAGTTAGGCTTATGATAAAAAGTTACCGAGCAGCTATTAGACGGCTTTCCAAATCCATATACGATTTCAAAAGTGGAATTATTAATGATATTTCAGCACAGAAAATTGATAAAGATACAAAATTCTTAGACCGTTGGCAGAAAGTGGGCCAGAAACTTCTGAAACTTGACATCCAGCTCAAACACAAAACTGCCCTTGCCTTTGCTTTCATTAAAGGAAGCCTTGTTACAGCTGTTGAAAATGGATATTGGGTTTTATTGGATGAAATTAATTTAGCCAATGCTGAGACTCTTGAATGCCTTTCTGGTCTTTTGGATGGATCGCAAGGTTCGCTTTGCTTGCTGGAAAGGGGTGACAAACAACCAGTTAAACGTCATAACAACTTCACTTTGTTTGCTTGTATGAACCCTTCCACTGATGTTGGTAAAAAAGATTTACCGGCGGGATTGAGGAACCGATTCACAGAATTTTTTGTGGACGAATTGAATGAAAAAAATGATTTGCTCCTTCTTGTTAATAATTACTTAGATGCCATGTCATTGAAGGAAAGGCAACAGGAAGATATTGTCAACTTTTATTTGAAGGTAAGAAGAGAAATGGTAACAAATCTTTCTGATGGTTTAGGACATAGGCCTCATTTTTCTCTGAGGTCTTTGTGCAGAGCATTGATGATAGCATCGAAAAATCCTTGTGGAATGTTCAAGAGAAGTCTTTATGAAGCTTTTTCTCTCAGCTTTCTGACTCAACTAGATAGCAGGTCATATCAAGTTGTGGAAAAAATGATTTCCAGGTAAGTGCATGTGGATAAATTCTTGGTTAATTCTTTAAGTGCTACAAAAGTAATGACTACTATTAAAATAGTTCAGCCATCACGTAATATTTTTATTATGAAAGCATTCATCATTGGACAAAATGTTAAGGCTTTGTTTGAATTATTAAATAATCAAAAGTCTGGACTTTTAGTTAACAGAAAAAAGCATTCAAATAATCACTTAGCAATTGTTTTTCTCTTCAAAATTTCTGATGTATTTTAAACAATCATTAGACGATTTTTTTTTATTTGTTTTTCTATTTCCTACCATTTCTGAAAGAACGTTATAAAATATAATTTTAAATCAAATCAAAATGTACTTTATTTTCGAAGATGACATCTCATTGACAAAGTGTTACTATTCTAAGAATATAAAATCACAACTTAAAAGATATTGTCGAAGATAAAATCTAATTGTCAAAGTGTTACTATTTTAAAGAATATAAGTTATACTAATTAAAAGGAGGAACATTTGGTGATTTCAGAATTTTGGGGTGAAAAAGTAGTCAGAAAGTAAAAATATATATGCTACACATTGAAATAAATAATAATGAATATTCTCATGCAACATATAAATATAGATATAAGAGTATGAAAACTATAAAGCATAAAAATATAAAAAGTGAATGCATAGAAAAGAAAAGTACATATGATCTACTACTTCCTGAACATTTTCAACTATACAGTTCAGAGCCAAATTTAAACATTAAACAAAAAGTTAAAAAAGTCACATAATTTAAATACCAGTAGATACTGAAACACAATAATAAAAATTAATTGTTTGGAAAATATATTCAAAAGTCAAAATTCAACTTCAAATATAATTATTTGTTAAGAGAAAATTCAAAAAGCATACTTCAAAATATCAATTGATTTTTAATACTTTCACTTTCACACTTCTTTCACGACTTATTCTAAGTATTTTTTGTAGTTTGTTTGGTGAAACCCTCGAAAATATTTTTAATATGTATTATCAAATATAATTGATAATACAAAATAGTGCATCATATTTGTTGGAAAACTACACTTATTTATTAGTAATATAGGATTATAGTAAGAGGTGATATAATTTCTATTGTAAAAACCAACAGTGCTCAACCTATCTTCAACATTATGAAATAGTCTTATATTATTTTAAATTGGTTTTATATATTTTATTCATTATAGTAAAATTTTTGCTAATTGTTCACCCGCAATGAAAAGTGCTTCAAGGTAATGCATTCAGATGTGACTAAAAATTGTATGTTACCAACACATTATGATATGTTAATAAATTGAATTATACTTTTCATCACTAAATTAATATAAAAAGAGTCTATGTATTATTGGAAACTGATTTCATTTGCTTTGTTATAGTTATCTACTTGGAGATGACAAGACTATCAAAGCTGTTCTAAATCAACCAATCCCAGAACCAAATAGTAAAAATAATGAATTCCTTCAGTTCGAGGGTTATTGGGTGAAAACCGGATCTTATGAACCATCTTCTCCCGAGGACTACATTTTGACTAAGTTAGTTAGAAGAAATTTGAAAGATTTAGTTCGAGTTGTATCTATTGGAAAACTACCTGTCCTCTTGCAGGTGAGTTTGATGAAATTGAATATACTTATTTGAACAAATCTGATTCTCTTTAGGGTGACACCTCAGTTGGAAAAACAAGTCTGATAAGTTATTTAGCTAAAGCCAGTGGCAATAAGTGTGTCCGAATCAACAATCATGAACATACTGATCTCCAGGAATACATTGGCTCCTACGTAGCAGATATTGAAGGAAAGCTGGTCTTTAGAGAAGGTCTGCTAGTAGAGGCCATGAGAAAGGGGCACTGGATCATCTTAGATGAGCTCAATCTAGCCCCCTCAGATGTTCTTGAAGCTCTTAACAGAGTTCTTGATGATAATCGTGAGCTGTTCATTCCAGAAACACAGGAAACTGTTAAGGCTAACCCTAACTTCATGTTGTTTGCTACTCAGAACCCACCTGGATCATATGGAGGCAGGAAAATGTTGTCCAGAGCATTCAGAAATAGATTTGTTGAGTTACATTTCAATGAGATACCTCCTGAAGAACTGGAGTTTATATTGCATAAAAGGTGTCATATGGGTTCCAGCCATGCCAAAAAGATGATTAATGTAATGACTGATCTTCAGGTTGGTTATATTGTAGAAACTTACATTTTATTGTAAAAACTATATTTTTGGCATGTTTCAGATGAGACGAAGAGGATCTGTTGCCTTTGCAGGAAAACAGGGTTTTATAACTTTGAGGGATCTTTTCAGGTGGGGTGAGAGGTATCGTCTTGCTCAAAACAAAAACAATTTATATGATTGGGATCAACATATTGCTGATGAGGGCTATCTGGTTTTAGCTGGAAGGGTGCGAAAAACTGAAGAGAAACACGAGATAATTGAAGTTCTGCAAAAGCATTTGAAGAGGAAGGTTGTACCTGACAATCTCTTTACATGTAAGTATTATTTCTATTAATTTGATACTAATGAGTATCTATTCCATATTTTGGATCGTTTGATAGTTTCGTTTTGTACTAACAACATTCAATGAGTTATTAAATGGCCGCACACTGGTAGGAAACATAAGTGGAAACACATATCCCATGCAAGGAGCATATTACAAAAGTATTAATGCCAAACACTTTATTGGTGCATTCATCGTTGTTAAACTCAATTTGTACTTAACATTTTGCTTCACCAAATGCACATAATTGCATCACTGTCGTCAACAGTAAATTATTGAACCTTCACTGTCTTAGATAGTAAAATTGTAATGAACAATATGCTTCCTTTTTCCTTGATATCATATAAGCATAAACTGGCTACCACCTTCAAAAATAATATAATGTAATGTCCGGGAAATCAGTGAAAAACTTTTGCAAATCGTCTTTCTTGAATACAAATTATGCCTTCATGAACGCATGTCTTTTACAAAATAATTTTAAATCGACCCTTTTACTTATCCTCAATAATCATTACAATTTCGAATGGATAGTTACCGCCATGTACTATTCCGATATTTTCTGCAGGTTAGCAAGTACTGTGTCTGTTACCTTTTGCTGTTCCATCCATTCGATGAACTTTTAGTTTATTGCATTCTTTGATTTTTTTATCTATTAAACACGATTTTACTTTTACTATTTAAGTAAACAATATTGCAACAGATTGCAACTTAATTTTTGTTTTTTGCATATCTTTGACAAGAAAGTTATACTGACCATCACCAATTCAATCATTTTACATAATTTCTTATTTTTTTGTAGTAATAATACATGATGATTTCAAAGCTTACTGTTGCAGCCACCATATAATTTTTTCACCATGCTTTGATATATGTTATCAAATAAGAGAGGACCAATCAATTGAAAAATAAAAAATATGTAACATATTCATAAATAACTTATTGAGACTCAAGCTCTCTGGCTACCCGAAAAATCGCGCTTTTTAAAGACCTGAATACCTACTTATTTTGATGTTTTTGTTAATGTAATTCGACCGAGATTTTTTATCATAATTACTGAATTTGTAGTGTGCTGTTTGTTAGCAGTCTTATTTCCTAAGTATTTTCAAATTTCGAACCACTGAAGTATATTTTGATCAACTGATCGATTAGTATACTCTAAATATTATAATGTATTGCTTTCCTCGTAGAAAATAATCATGAAACCATGTTTTTAAAACATTTCACAATTGACAATCAACTTATACACATAAAATATTGAACGACAAAAGTTCGCTATTATGAAATATGTTTTGTTTAACCTTTCAAAAATACCCCACTAAGGGAGAAAGAAACTAAATGAAAGAAATGTTCTTAGTATTGATTAAATTTGTATTTCTTTCATTGCATAATACTGTTTTTTTTGTATGATTTTGAACCTTTTACTTGTTTCCAGTATCCTCTACAACTTCCACTGTAACCAAACATATTCTGGAAAAGATAGACCAGAAAAAAGCCGAGTATGGAAATATTGTGTGGACATACAATATGAGACAACTGGCTGTTATGGTTTCAAAGGCAATGGAATTCAAGGAACCTGTTCTGTTAGTTGGAGAGACAGGCGGAGGTAAAACTACAATCTGTAAACTCATTGCTGAAAACAATGGTCAGCAACTCATAACTGTGAATTGTCATATGCATACAGAAAGTAGTGACTTTATTGGTGGACTCAGGCCTGTCCGAGATCACTCGGTAAGTGGTGTATTTTGTAAATGAATAATAATTGTAGTTAAATGAAACAATTACAATTTGCTCAACTGGCTATTGATCGAAGTCCTTCCGTTCGTGTAACAAAATTGCTTTAAAATTTCAAAGATTATTTTACAATATTACACCAAAAAAATCTTATATGAATATAAAAATAATAAAACAATGTCATTGATAAATCTGTGTTAGTTTTTCCAACAATGTTTCTGTTGGGTGGCGATGTCATACTTTAGGGTTTCTTGTCACATCATGCTTTCTAATGATTTCTACATTGTCGTCTTTTCCAACAAACTTCTGAGTAAGTATCGGTAGTCTTTCCTCAATAGGGATAAAACCAGAGGGTTGTGTTTGGGGTTATTGGGATTCAGATATTTAAATCACATCTTACACACCCATTGCTCGGTCTGCCATGTATTTATCAATACAGACTGACTGAGCTGGCAAAAATGAAGGGTTGTAAGTTTTCAGTATTGAAAAGTATTGAAAAATTCCGGCTCAGTATGTGTGATCGAGACATTTTTTTGTGAATAATTTATTAAAAATGAGATATTTTGATAAGTTGTTAATGAGAGTCATTACTGCACTTATAAAAGTATCTTTGTCTACCGTGATCTGAATGGTAAATGTTTTTATCCATCCAGCAGAACAGACCTTGGGGGGAATTAACATAGGTTTCAATGTTATGACGGTCAAAGTGTTAATATTCAGTGGTACTGGCGGGTTTGACGTTTATGACATCACTGGGATTGATTGTCTTACAGTGCGTTCCACTAAGCACTCACACGACCACGGTTTTTGCCGTTCCACTTGGTTCTGGGCGTCACAATCATTTACTCGAGTGGAATGGATTTTGGAGCGTTTTGAGCGTTCATTTAAATAATTCACATGGCGCGTTTAAAAAAACAAAAAGTTGATGAGGTCATGTTACAATTTGTAAGTGGTATCAATAAGTTCTATTAATTGTTGGTTAACATGATTTATTAAACAAAAATTATGTATATACTTTAATTTTAGAGGAGTATTCAACTAATTCATGTTCATATATAATAAAAATGCCTTTTACGGCGGCAGTTGGAAATTTGTTGGTGCGTCGAAATAATGCTCCACAAAGTACTAGTTCGTCCAGCTCAGATGAAGAATGGAATACAATTTTACAAAAATATAATCGTGAAAAACGAAAACTTTAGACCACGTATTATTGATTACGATAATGTAATTACTCGTTATTCAGATGAAGAGTTTAAAAGTCATTTCAGGTAAATTATTTTTTATTACTTAATACACTATAGATTTTGAAAATTTTACTCATGGAATTCTTTATTGATCTCTTTAGACTTTCAAGATGTACATTAAATTATTTACATGAGCTAATACAAGAAGATTTAGTCCGACGTGTTCCCGGATGTCCTACAATTCCTTCCCGTCATCAATTGATGATAGCTCTCTGGAAAATGGCCACATCAGATTCTTATGGGTTAATTTTTTTTTAAATTAACCATTTTAGTATTATATACCATAATTCATAAGTATAAAATTAAACCCTTTTTTTATTTAACGCACGTTCAGCGTCTGCAGGAGAAAGTTTGAGATCCACAACACCATCTCGTTCGGCACAATAGAACGATATTGTTGTTGTCGCCATGTTTGCTGCTTTTAGTTTTAAAAATTGCGCTCAGTTTCTCAAAACGTTCACATCGACCCACCTCTTGAGATGGGTCGTCGTGAGCTAGGCGTGAGCATAAATGACGTCATTAATGACGTTTTCGCCGCGACCACAACGATCGCGGTCGCCATGTGGAACGCCTGAATGAGTATTTTAGGCGTTGTGAACGCTTAGTGGAACGCACAGCTAAAAAATTCTCCCTACCCGAAATACTTCATGTTTCAAACCTGAGCATGACATTTGTAAAATTACATTTATAAAATTACACAATGAAACAATCAAAGACATTCGTCACATCACATGTCGTCCAAAAGAAATTACATAAAGATTTGTGAAATACAAATTTTTATATTGAAGTATGCTCTAACATTCAATGGATAAAACAGTATCATTTTTAAGAATCCTACAACGATGGTAGATAATAATATCTTTGAAAAAACGCAATAGAAAAAATAATTTTGATCTTTTTGAATTAATTTAACTGTCTACATTACCCCATAAACTTACCCAGTTATTTTCACCATTACTGAAGGGAAATGAAAATATTACTTTGCAAGCAAAGTATTTTTTTCGGTTGAGCTACATCCAAAATTTCTCAACAAAAATCGTAGAGAAATGTTTGCTCATTATAGAAATGAAAGGCAGAAAAATAATGAACTTATGTTGACGTTATGTAAATATGTTTTTGTTATTTTTTGGGGTTATATAGTCATCTACATCTACAGAAAGCAGGAACGACCAACATAATTAATCAAGATTCACTTTGTATATTATTTACCTGTTTCAACTGCAAAATTATCTATTTCAGGATGAAGCGTCAAAAAAACTATTTGAATGGGTTGATGGTCCTTTGATACATGCTCTGATACAGGGAGAGGTCTTTTTGGTAGATGAAATTTCATTGGCAGATGATAGTGTATTAGAAAGACTAAACTCACTACTAGGTAAAGAAGGGCTATAAATTATTAACTGAATAGATAATTTTTTCAATCCATTTGAAATTATTTTCAGAACCTGAGAGATCTTTGTTGCTTGCTGAAAAAGGCATTGATCTAAACAATCCAGAAAACTCGGAATTGATCACTGCTAATGCAAACTTTCACTTTATCGGAACTATGAATCCAGGTGGTGACTTTGGTAAAAAAGAATTGTCTCCTGCACTTAGGAATCGCTTCACAGAGATTTGGTGTGAGTCTTGCAGGATCCGAGTGGATTTGGTGGCCATTGTCGAACAGAATGTTAGATCTGGAATATCCATGGGTAATCAGCAAGATGGTTCTAGCGGAGTCGGGAATGCTATAATGGATTTTATTGAATGGTTTGAGAAAACCGAGGTTGGAAAGAGGTAGAATAGAATAGAACTTTATTCGTCACTGAAGTTATTACAAGAAGGAGTACAGAATGTATAACTTATTGGAGTCATCACAAAATATGATATAAATTTAGAATTTACTCTACATATAAAAATCAGCACGTTAAGAAGTATAAAAAACAAAATAAAGACATATATAAAATTATACCTAATTACGACACATTAGTTCATGTCTCCAGAAATTCCTCTAACGAGTAGAATGCCCTGGATTCTAAATACTTGTACAGAGAGTTTTTGAAAATTCTCAGATCGGCAAGATCAATTTTCCTATTAAACAAATCTATAAATCTATTATAGCAGAGAATACCTTTATATATGTGCGAGTTTTGCCCAATGATTAATCTTGAGTATGTTCTTGTATCGTACTTGTGTAAACTGCCATTTTCAATAATGGAATTTTCTTGTGTTTTAATATTCACAGTAATTTGAAATATATATAGTGAATACACTGTGAGAATACCTATCTTTGGAAAAATTGATTTACAAGATGTGTTAGGCTTGACTCCAATCATACTTCTGATGATTTTTTTTTTGTATTATAAATATTTGATTTAGGTAGCTTGAGCTACCCCAAAACATTAGGCCATAACTGAGTGCTGATTGAACCAATCCATAGGATGCCAATTTCAGTTGTCTTATTACAAAACAGATACTCAGCTTGGTGATTGTTTCGTTTATATAATGTTTCCATGTCATTTTATTATCCAATATAACTGAAAGCGAGCAACATCAATCTGCTCAATGCTACTATGATTTACTCTTATTGATAAATTAGAATTCCTATTCAGATTTTTCGTTAGAAACTGCATGAAGCATGTTTGGCTGTTATATTTGAAGTTATTTTACTCCATCAATAATTTCATTTTTATGAAATAATTTTACAATCATGAAATAAGTTTATTATTTAGAGTGTTAACCAATTTTTTTTTTAGCTGAGTTTCTTTTAAATTTATATTCTCATTTCACATATCGATTGAAGGTTATAAAATGAGATTTTATCAAACACATCAGGTTTTATTGAAGAATTTTTGACAAAACTGCACTTTTCAATCATTTAATATTTTCTTACAGATTAACAATAAGTATTCGAGACATATTGACTTGGGTGACATTTTTGAATACTTGTGTTGACAAAATGGACATCTCAGAAGCATATATTCATGGAGCATATTTAACATTCTTGGATAGTTTGGGTTCCGGAACAACGAGCATAGAAAGGTAAGAAAGAAAATCAAATTAGTCTGATGACTGTCTCAAGGAGAAATGTACACGCCAAGAAAATGCATATTTTGAATTGAGATTCAAAATGAAACATCTTTCTCAGGTTTCCTACACAAAAGTATCTGAATTGAACTGGCCGATACTTGATGACAATCCATATTTAAAAAAAAAACTAATCAACAGAGTTTATTCTATGATTTTCACTATAAGGATTTTACAAAAACCGCGACACGTGTTTCGCTATACAATAGCTTCTTGTATTATTCTATTGAATAGAAGCAATGTTCAGTCAATGTTTTTTTAAATTTTTTTTCTTAAAAAGATACATGCTGAGCTTTGTTAGGCCTTCATTAAGTTTATTGTACAAATTCAAGTTGGGAGATTTAGAAGAAGACATTTTCAGTCTTCAGTATTTCGGGTGGGATAGTTGTGGAAGTCTGAGTTCAACTTTAGATTTCCCTTATTTCTGTGCAATTCAATAAGGGTTTGATATATATAGAAAGGAAGGGACATTATTCGATTTTTGATGAAAAGTGGCCTACAAGGTTGGTCGTAGCGCGTACCTTCAATTATTGTCAATGCCCTTTTTTGCAACTTGAATACTCTTGTTGCCTGACTAGAATTTCCCCATAAAATGGTACCATAGCTTATATGCGAATGGAAGAGGGAGTGGTATGTAGTCAATAGCACATCTTTGTTCACAATATTTTTCAGTTTACACAGCAAAAATAGTTAGCTAGACAGTTTATTGCATAGATGGTTTATTTGGCTATTCCACTTTAATTCATCATTTCACGCATTTCTTTCTGCTGCAGTAATTTCTGAAAGATAGTGATTTTTAATTTTCCTATAAGCAAGCAATCAGTGCCTGTGCAATCTTAAACAACTTTTATGGCCTGAACTTGTCTCTTTAGCTCCCTGAGATGGTCATTGAAAAATTGTATAGGTGGTTTATTCACTATTTTTCGTTTTTTTTTCTGGAAAGTGTTTGCATACCAAAGTGTGTAAAGTGTTGATGAGATAATCTGGTGTGATAATTTGCTGACTTTTTTGCTGTATTTGAGGAAAAATCCAAATCAGTTTCCATGAGACTTCGATGAAGTTTCTGAATACCACTTTTGGTTACTGGTCTAGTAACTCGAGGGGAATCCTGGTTATCTCTTTCACACGTAATATCTATGTATTGACCTAAATGGTCCGAGATGTAAAGGTCTATCACTCCGGCATTTCTCACGTCAAAGGTGAGAGCACTCAGGATATTGTCAATGCAACTAGATGACTTGGAAGATATTCTAGTAGCATCTGAAATATTAATTTTGAGATCGTAGAAATTTATAACTTTATTCCAAATTTGAGAGTGCAAAGATTCTTTATTCAAGTCTATATTGAAGTCTCCTGTCACAACTATGTTACTATATATATCTGTCACAAAGTCCATCATGTCAATGAATGTGTTAATGAAAGTTTCGAACTTACCAAGGCTGCAAGAGCTGTACACCATGATTATAGCTACGTTAAGAGGTTTCAACACAATGCCACAAAACATATAGGTAACACTGAAATGATTTTGTTCAAAAATAGTTCTAGAGGCTCCGTCTTGTTCGATAGATATTGAATATTGACATGTAATAGTCTAGTAGAAGCATTTGAGCGTCCACATACGGCAAGGAGGTTAATTTGTCGCCGTGTAGGGATACCCTGATTAATTACCTTAACAAAAATGGATTCTACACAATTGCATATGCAGATGACATAGTTATCTTGCAGACTGGCAAAATTGTAAACACACTGTGCGATAAAGCGCAGGATGGGCTCAAATTAAAGAAACATGGTGTAAGGAACACTCACTCTGGATCAATCCCAAGAAGACTGAGATTTTTCTTTTCACCAGGAAAAGAAGTTTAACGGGCTTAAAACCTCCCAAAATCTTCAAAATAAACTTCTCTGAAGAGGTGAAATACCTTGGTACTATCCTCGACAGGAAGCTAACATGTAACTCTCATCTACAGAGTAGAGCAAAAAGAGCATACGTGGCTTATGAGCAATGTCGGAGGACAGTGGGACGCGCATGGGGTCTTTCACCCCGTGTGGTCACCTGGATCTACACTGCAATAATAATACCTATGTTAACATTATATCGACGTCGGAAACGCAGGAACTCGTAAGTGACAATGTGATGATTTTAAAGGAGAGCCAAAAAACCGTACAGCTTCACATTCAAGACGTGTTGTATTAATTATCTCGTGAATTAGGATTACTTTTTGTTGGAAAAACGGAATGAGCAATTAATTTTCATAGTAGTTTTGACTTTTAGATAAATGAGGGTAGTTAAGTGGTAATGCTTTTGCTGAAAATTCACTTACGAGTTAATGTCAATCTTGAAATATTTATATGAAAAAGCTTTAATACACTGAAGAATGTACTTGCAATATTTTCTTATAATTAAAATTAATATGAACATCCAACGTAATAACCAGTCACATGATGATCTACAAACACTTAGCCACCTGGTAACCCGATTTACCGTATAAATAAACACTTAAAATTGGGAAAATTTCTTAGAAAACGTGGTTACATGATGCTCAAGCAGTCACCAGGCGACCTGGTTCTACTGTAACATTGAAAGCCTAAAATCATAATTATTTTTTTAGGACTGCAGGTATACTAAAAGCAACTAAATATAAAATAGAATTATGAAGAGATCAAATCTATCACTTTTCTTACAATGTACTATTTCTCTTTCTTAGAATTGCTCTATTTTTCTTTGGTACTGTATGGTAAACAATCGTAAAATTCCCAACAGTCACGCGGAAGACAATTTTTTATTGCCTGGAGATGGTCGAATTTAGTTTTTGTTATTGGATTCCTGGAGCTGTATAGACGAGGCAACATGATAGATTCGAAGTCAACTTTACTCGGCCGGATTGGAATTTCCTGAAAATTTTCGCCAAAGTCGACTTTGTAGAAAATTTTTCCTTCTTTATACTGGAGTGCGCGAATATCGGTAACTAGGTAATTAGAGTCACTCGTCCTTGTAGGTCTAATAGATTTATACTTCATCAAACTTTTTTCTCCATAGTTTTTGAAAAAGTCAAAGTTTCTATTTCTTGCTTCATATGGCTGTGCTCGTCTAGCCTCCTTGGTTATTTTCAAGTAATCACTGGGTAAGTAAATTTCTTTGTTTTTCAATCGTTTTTCTATCACACTGTGAACTGAGTCACACTCCATTTGAGTGTGTCCTTTCTCAAGAAATTTTTGAACAATTGATACTGTGAATTTGTCCGCTAGGTAGAGTAAAGCATTAGAAAGTATTGCATTTCTATTTTGGGCAGTGCATCCGTCCGAATATATGATGATAGGCAACTTGTCATTTTTCAGGAATTCCCCCTCTAGATACTCTAGCAAAAAAGAAGCATAGGTTGAAGCTTGGCCGTCTGCTTCAGTCTCGTTGAACCAGTAGCAAACAACTCTTTTTGTAGCTAAGTTATACAAAGTAAAATTGTGGCAGCACAGTTTCGTCTTATAATAAAGTGCGCTTGCAGGTATCTGTGGCGACAACTTCACTGCTTGAACATCCATGGTTATCACATGACATTCTCCTTTCAGTGCCTTCTCCTTGTCTTTTTCTTTTTCTAATCTTGCCAAATTTTTCTTCGAAATATGTTTGTCATAATTTTCTTTTTCGACATTGCCATTTTTATACATAAAACATTCGTAACTTCTTATTCATGTGTCTTTTGTTTTCTCCTTTGACTACTTTTCTTTTCTTATCTTTATTTCCTTCATCACTATGGTGACTGGTATCTTCATAACTACTATTATCAGAATCTTCTTGCGGCTGGTACTGATCAGTGCTTTTTATCGTTTCGTTATTGTTTATTTCTTCTGCAGTTTCAAGTGTTTTATAATCAACATGTGGTTTTTCAACTAATGCGCTAATATCTTCAACAGTTTCTTGAGATTGAAAAATCATAGCAATATTCAAATCAAGATTGTTTTGTGTAACTTGGAATGGAATATCATTAGGCGGATCTTCGTTACTCGTACTAATTAGGTCTACTTCGCTGCTGTCGTTCACGTTAGGTTGATTCAAACATTCATAATATATAGAAGTTTTGTCTTCAAAAATAATTTCGGCGTTGTTTATCAGATGCTCCACATCCTCAGGGCTTAGTGCATCTTCTAAAATATTGATTTGAGTTGGTCTCAAGAGCTCGGGAGTCGATGTTGTTTTCTCACTGCGTTCGTTTTCCTCATCCTCCGCCTTTCTTCTGGCCAACTCAACAAGTTTTCTCGTCCGGTTCAGCATGACCCTTGTATACTAGAAAATCCCCCGCAAAATCCTCTAGTTTCAGCCTGAAATAAAATATCTATTCAATATTACAAAACATAGCATTGTATAATATTAAATACGACGAATAATCAACTACTCAACCTACCAATAAAATAAAAAAATGTCATTTAATTCTGTTGTTGAACAGTTACGAGGTATTGAAAATTCAAGCAACCTAAGACAGGACCTCGTATCTTCAACCTGAAATTGTAATAATATATTTTAGCCGACACTGAAGGAAAATAATAACAAAATTTTTAAATAAACTTTTCTTACTTACTTTTGATATAACTGAAAGTGTAAAGTCAACAAAATCAACTCGTAAAAGCAATATTTCATGCACACCACTATCACGTTGTACCCTTACGCACGTTGGAATACAAGTTACGAGGTATTGCATAGACAAAATAGCGCGAAAATATTACGAGGTAATGTTTTCTTCATTTTCAGCCGTTCTAGAATCTTATCAGCTTCCATCTTTGATTGATAGATGCCGCTACTTATTCTAAAGACAAAACATAAAATAACTCATTTTTGAGAATTTTGTCAGTTACGAGGTCCTGCGTTTCCGCCGTCGATATCAAATACAGCGACTGGCTTGTTTAAACATCACAGGAGCCATGAGAACAACAACAACCGCGGCAATCGAATTATTAATCACCGATCTGGCCCCTCTGGATCTGTACTTTAAGGAGGTTGCGTTAATGTTAATTAAAAGTAAACCAAGAACTGGAAGAAAGGGCGGAAAAATGATTCTCACGAAACAAGTTGAAGCTCAATAGGGATAAAACCAAAATATTATTATATCATCAAATAATCGCTTAACAAATAACAATCATGTTAAACTTCTTGGCATAACTGTCGATGATTCACTCAAATGAGAAAATAACATTGAAATGTTGCGTAAAAAACTATCCAGCCAACTTTATCTACTTCGTAGGCTGAGGAAAGTTCTGAGCACCCAAACACTAATAACCTCCTATCATTCACTAAAGGAATTTCTGGCAAAAACATAACAATCTGCACTGACAGCAGACAAGCCCTATTAGCCATCCATCCCATCAAGAGATGGGATGGAATCAAAGGATGTAATCTTGCCAGGATCACCTTGGGCGACCCTGGGAAGCTGGCGCCGAAGAAATATCTGGCGCCGAAGAAATATCTGGCGCCAAAGAAATATCTGGCGATGACCAGGAAAAATCTACGCCTAATAGTAGGATTTCTGACTGGCCACTGTCAACTAAGGAAACACCTCCATAATATGGGGATAGTGGACACACCTCTATGCAGGATCTGTGAACAGGAAGATGAGACTGTCAGGCATGTCCTGTGCGAGTGCCCGGAGTTATCGTCGATAAGAGAGTGTGTGTTGGCGAGTCCTGCCGATATAAAGGAGATGTCTCCCAGTGACCTGTCCACCTTCCTGGAAAGGACAGGATGACCAAATGACTTCTGGGAACTGAAATGCTAGATATTCACTAAATTTTTCAGGGGTAGTGCTTGGGCTTAATCTTGAGATATGAAGCACTGCTGGCTTAGGAACTCCTCTCACCGATGTATTTGTTTCACTAGTTTTGCTCCCTACAATCGGATTTTTCTTTCTATTGTAGCTAACATGGTTCCATCTTGGATTATGTGCATCATTTACAGAGTTTGTGGAAGGATGTATGATGGTCGAATCACTCACTTGCTTTTGTGCCTCTTTCATGCCGTTAGCTAATTGTTTCTTGGTGATAGATTTTGGGGCTAATTGTTCCTTGGTGATAGATTTTGAGGCACTCAGTTTGGCTGTGTCTTTCAATGAATCTTTATTAGTAGTATTTGCTTTCGTAGGACATGGTTGAGGTATATTTTTGTTTCCATTAGCATTTTTTTATGTTGAATGTTCATACTCTGAAAATCTGCTATTTTCTGCCTGCGAGGTTATAGTGGCAACGTTGTAGTTTACTGAGTTTTGGTTATATTTGTCGTTCAGCAATTTAATTTTGAAATCTTTGTCTAATATCGCCTTCTCAAGTTCTTGATTGAGTCGTTTTAGATAGGATAGTTCAGTTTTCATACACTTTTGTTCTCTTTAAGTGATTGAAGAGAACCTAACCTAGCTTCGTCATCGTACATTTGGGGATAATCTTTTGGGTCAAAAGGTTCGCCGTTTCCATATCCGATGATTTTTTTAACTTCCTCACTAAGTTTCAAATCACTGAGCACTTTTTTTTTAGTGAGAATTTCTATCAAGTCACTCTCTTTTAGTTTATCTAATTCACGAGCCATTACTTCGTCTTCACTCATGTTGCCATATTTGTGAAGTATAATTTTCAGAATGAAAGTGTTTTTTAATAGTTGAACAGATACTAGTGATATTATAACTTATTATCAAATTTAGGTGATAAGTGATGACTTGATAAAATTATTTTTTTCAGTTTGAAGCATTTGGAATTATTTAGAAACAATTGCCAACAATTTCTTACCAACCAAGTGTCCCATCTTGGTTTAACTCAAAGTACTTCCCTGAAAACTGAATTGACTGTTGAGAAAATTGGAAATAAGTTTGGCATCAATCCATTTTATGTAGACATTGGCCCTGAAAGTCCAACTACAATAGAATTTTCCTTCAATGCACCTACCACATTGTTCAATTTGTTGAGATTGCTAAGAGGAATGCAACTGAATAAAGCAATATTACTAGAAGGAAGCCCAGGAGTAGGGAAAACGAGCTTGGTGACTGCTTTGGCTAAGTTCACAGGACATCAATTATACAGAGTGAACTTGTCTGATCAGACAGTAAGTAAATTTATTTTTCAAAGTTTTTTCGAAAAGGTTTGTAACAGAGAAAATATTTAGCTTAATATCAAGCAATAAGAAAAGAGAGTTTTTTGAAATTTTTCATATCTCTGATGAGAAATATTTTATATGGTCCACCTCGAGAATGTATCCTTGGACATCCAATTTTTTTCATTTACATCCATTCAATATTAAAATTAAATTTGAATGTATTTGATGGAATTCTACGATATTTGATGAAAATCCATAACTTATTCTGGTGACACTTTATTGTAAGATTTCCACTAGACAGTTTAGAAAACTATCAAAACAAATGCTTTATTGAGTGTGAAGGCAAAGAACTCTTTTATAATTCCAAGAATTTCAATTCTATTTATACCTCGAAGCTGAAACGTGGGGGTGGTGTAGGAATATTTTTGGAAGGAAATATGGAATATGAAAATGTCATAATAGATCCTGAAAATTCATACATTGAAGTAAAATTATCGCAATTCAACATTTTCTTATGCTTGTTACAAATAAGAAAAAAAAGCTTTCATAATTTGTAATATATATGTACCTATATACCCTGTATATATGCCTGGTCCGTCCAAACCTGGTGTATTGTTCCTTCTGTCTGGTCCCCTCATTGTGTAACTTATATTAAGAACATCGAAAATGTCCAACACAACTTCCTCAGATACATAGCATATAAATCAGGTGTTCGTTAGGAGTATGAGTTGCTACTGCAATCTCTGAGCATGTCCTCCCTGGAAACTAGGAGGAAACAGAGAGATCTGACACTACTTTTCAATAATATTAACAGTAAATTCAGTGGTGCTAAACTCCTAGAAAAAATGTATCTACATGTTCAAAACCGCTCAACTCAACAGCAACAAACATTTTACGTACCGTTTTATCGTTTGAACCACAAATTCAATAACTGCATTCCAAGAATCTTGCGATTAGCCAATAGTAACGTTCATTTTGAGATGTTTAACATCTTATTGCATCATATTAAAACTGAATTACGGAATACTGTGCTTTAATGTTTTAGTGCATAGTTTATGGTAGTATATGTAGTATATGTTTTATTGTCGTTCATTGTTTTTTGTCATTTTATACTCTAAAATTAACCCTTTTCAAACTTTAAATTTACCCCTTTCAAGCTATTCTTAGTTGGAATTTGTAATTCAGTACCTTATCTGATTTTATTTCAATTATAATTTAACATTGTAATTTATACTTGAAATGGGCTTGCCCGTAAATAAATAAATATATGAATATCATGCGCATGTATTGGTTAAGAGGGAGTTTTAACACTCGGATATGGAACGAGTGCCGGGTATTCGGACTACTTTCTTTATTGTTATACAGAACCCACGACAGAAAGTTCCATTCATCACAGTAGCGACAACGTGTGTAATAATAAACTGATAGGAATCACAGAATTGGTTAAAACAGAAAATAATTGAACAAGACGTCTGTTTACACATAAATTGGCGATGTCATATATAGGCTGTTTGATGGTTTTTAATCCAAGTGAATGTGATTGAAGAATCTATAATATCTATAATAATCTACAATATATTTGTATTAAACGGAATAAAGAAGGAAGAAAAACAACGCGGGCTATTGTTAAATATGTGCAACGAAACGGCATATCAGCTAATAAGTACATGTTTGCCGAACAAACCGTCAGAGAAACCATTCTAAGAATTGATAGCGCTTTTTGACAAGCATTTCACAGCAGCTAAGTTAGTTTTTCCAGATTGAGAAATATTTTATTCTGCTTCGAAAAATAAATATGAAACGGTACCAGAATGGGCAGCACTAATACGACAGTTAGCAGGAAAATGCGATTAAAAAGATGAACTCACAGTTGTAAAGCGTGATAGATTCATATGTGGATTACCAAAAGAAGAACATCATGTGAAGTTTGTGGTAAAGTACATACACCACCATGCAGATACAAAAATTGTTTTTGTCAAAAAGTGGTGTTAAGGGTCATATTGCAGTAAAATGAATTTAAAAGTAGTTCTATATCTGGATTTAGAAATAATGGAAATATTTATTTAGAATCATCTGAAGAAGTATTTGATTTGTACAATCTCAATCAGAATTTGAAGAAATTTGAATCGATTATGGTAGATTTTATTATAAATTTTATTTATTTTGAATTTGAGTTAGATACTGGTGCCTCTGTGCCTGCGATTTCATTTTCCTCTTGAAGATGATCACTTAGTGATCGAAACACGTGTCGAGGTGTTAAAATAATGATTTGGTGTTGGGGAAAAAAACTCCAGTAATATTCATTACTACAACAAAGGTTCCAAACAGTGCATCATAAGTGCGATTTCAAAAGAATTCAAAAATGCTAATTTTTCAATATTCAATATTCAATAACAACATTTAAAGGTCTTTTTTGTTATAACAGATTACCATACGGTATACATTCAGGTCCCATGATATTTCAGAAAATTATGTCACGTTTGTTAGAGAGTGTTGCTTAATTTCTTGATGATGTGCTCATTATTGGAGCCATCAAAGAGGAACACATACTTAGAGTAAAATCAGTTACGAAAAATTTTGCAGAGGTCGGTTTTACATTAGAAAAAAAGAAAATGTGAATTTTTCATAGGAAGTGTTACTTATTTGGGATTCAAAATTGACAAAGAGGGTCTCCATACAATGGAAGATAAAGTGGAAGTAGTATTGAATGCACCGCTTCCAACAAACGTCAAACAATTGAAATCATTTTTAGGTCTTGTTAATTATTATCATAAATTCGTACTGAGCAGTTCAATGGTGTTGAAACCTCTTTATAATTTAATACAAAAAAAGACTTCATTTGATATAAAAATATTAGCATCCGCTGAAGTTCTAGTTCACTTTGATCCAAAGTTACCTATACAACTGGCAGTAGATGCATCTCAAACATGAATAGGGGCAATGAAAACGCACTGTATGAAAGGAGTTCAACGTCCAATAGCTTATGCTTCCCGGAATTCAACTAAAAGCGAAGAAAAATTCAGTCAGATATAAAAAGAGGCGTTGGCTATTTTTTGCAAAAAAATTTACTTTGTTGACCGATCATAAGCCATTAGTAGCTATTTTTGACACTAAATAGGAAATTCCCATATTTACTGCAAACAGACTACAGAGATGGGCTCTCATATTGGCTAATTTTCAATTTGAAATCAAATATGTGAAATCTGAAAATACTTATGAGGATTGTCTTTCACGATTATCGCTTCCAACAAATTCGGCAGAACCTGAACCTTTATGATTTAATATATTTCACAACACGAAAATATTCCTATAAAATTTTGGCTGAAATTCATAGATCACAATTAGGAATGGTCAAAATGAATAGTCTAGCACGAAACTATGTTTGGTGGCCAGGACTAAATATCGATATTGGAAAAAATGGTAAAAAATTGGAAATCGTGTTCATGTTTAAAAAATAATCCCCCTAAAGCCAAATTGATAAATTGGAAATACCCAAATGATTGTTGAGAAAGAATCCATATAGATTATCAAGGCCCAATAAAAATAAAACATATTTTTGTGGCAACAGATGCTTTTTCAAAATGGTGTGAGGCTTTCATGGTGAGTGAAAATAACTTCAACTGGTACAATAAAAATTCCTCACATTTCAATTTCTGATAATGCATCATAGTTCGTTTCTTCAGAATTTCATAATTTTTTGAATTGTTTTACAGAGAACCCACAACAAAAATTTCCGTATATCACATAATTGGAATTTTATTCAGAATAAGAAATTTTGTGCCCCTAAAATACCTTTAAAATTTTTCATTAGTAAATTCCAAAATTTTAATATCTAATATAAGTATGGGGAATGGCTACAAATTCCTTATTGAAACTTCATAACAAAATTATAAGGTGTATATTCAAGTTGAACCACAAAGAGCCTATAGTCAACTTTTATAAACTAAAAAAACTATTATATTTGTCATCCTTACATAAATTCAAATTATGTACCTTCATTCATTTGGTCAAAAATAAGCTCAAACATTCAAAATGTGATTTTCAATATTAAGAGGATAGGGGTAAGCTTGAGAATCACATTAAGAGGATACGGAGGCGTTCTGGATTAAATATAAAAATTGGAGAAAAATGTGGAAGTTGCAAAAATAATGTGTTAATATGTTAAAGAATTGAAAGAAGAAGTTAAAGCTCTAAAAAATGAAAATAAATTCCTAAAAGAAAACTTAATGAAAATTGAGAGTAGTGAAACCAACTTTGATATGGAGGAGTTCATGAATTAAATAGCGGAAAGAAAAAAGAGATCAAACAACATAATGATTTTAAATATTAATGAATCGAATGCTGTAAATAGGAATGATAGAATAGAAGATAAAAAAAAAACGGTGAAAGAAGTTTTGAAGCATGCAGACATTGCTCTTAATGAGTTTAAAGTAATTAGGATAGGAAAATATGATGGAAGAAAAACATATCCTATAAAAGTTATCTTGGAATCTAATGATGCAGCAGTAAATATACTAAGAAACCGTAAAAAAATCCATGATAATATTCCTTCTATCAGAATATTTGCAGATCAAACGATTGCTCAACGAGAGTACTACAAAAAATAAAAAATTAAAGCTGAATAACATCATAGCTGAAGGTGATAATTCTAAAACTATAAAATATCCTAATGGAATTCCAAAAATAGTGAATAAGCACAATACAAAAAACTAAATCATTCCACAGAAAAGAGAGAATTTACGTCAATTGAGTTCAATGTCGATATTGTTTATTTAATCATAGAAAGTTTATTAGCTCACAAAACTCAATTGATAGATAACATTGTTTGTTACCATACTGTCATTATTTTACTTAGTGAAGCCCGAACCACAAGCGAAATAAATAACCATGAAATTGAAATATCAGGCTATTCAACTATAAGATGCGACTCCAACTCAAGACACACAGGAGGTGTAATTACTTATATTAGAAAAGATATTAAATTTACAAACGGTAAAACCTATGTGCAAAATGGAAATTATTGGTGTAAATTAATATCTGTAACCAGCGGCAGCACAAAATGGGTAATAGGAAGTTTATATCATTCACCCAGTGGAAGTCATGCAGCTTTTCTCGATCAAATGGAAATAATATGTGAAGAAATATTTTGCAGGAATCCTCGAGTGATTTTAGCTGGTGATTTTAGTTTAGACTTCTTGTCTAATGAATTTTATGTTAAAAAAATTAAAGATCTTTTCAATGCTTATGGTATACATCAAAATGTGGAAACATATACTAGAATAACTAACACCAGTAAGAGTTTAATAGACTATGTATTGATAAATCAGGATAATTTGGAAGTTAAAGTATTGGATGAGCCCAAGATCACTGATCACTCCATAATAACTGTTAAATGTTTTCAAAATGTGAGACCTACTACAGCAGGGAGGTGCACTAAAATGATTAGAAAGTTAACATATGAAAACCTGCATACCACAAATTTAAATTTAATTAATAGTCAATTCCTACTGAATAGTATAGATGTTAACGACATTTACAACAGTATTAAGGACATGGTAGGCAAAATTGTTAATAAGATCGCACCCGTGAAAACAATAATATATGGCGAAAACGACCTACCTTGGTATGATATAAATATAAACAAAAAACTGAAATTACAAAGAAATAACATACGACAACAACCAAACAAATAGAAATTGAAATATTAATAAAAGCTGTGAAAAATTGAAAAAATTAAAAATTTTATTAACAAAAAAAGAAAAAATATTACTGGAGTTTTTTCCCAACACCAAATCGTTATTTTTATACCTTGACACGTGTTTCGATCACCAAGTGATCATCTTCAAGAGGAAGATAAAACTAGAAACTTCTCAAAACTAAAGCTATTTATGCTATTCAGGTACATAATACAGGTAGGTAATCAGTAATACCACCCATACAAGTGTATCACCCTAAATTAATTTTACAATTGGCCTTTCTATTATTTTACAATATGTCCTTATGTATGTTTAAATGTTACAGCTATATATAGAACAATTTTCAGCTATATAAAGTTATTTTCACAATATTGCCTATCTAAATATATTTACAATGTGTCTTTTTTGTAGTAATCAGTAAACCCAACAATATTATTTCAACAAGCTATATAGTATGGTATTTGGTATTGGTCCGTTATCGTTGTTCATAATATTATTATGTTTACTTATTTCTACACTCTCATAGGCATCTAGTTACCTGTTGTTCTTAACGTGTCTAACTAATCTTATAGAACTGAAGTCTATGGAATGGTTTTGTTGCAAAATATGATGGGCGACTGCTGGTTTTTCAGGTCTTCCATATTTTAAGTGTGCTATGTGTTCCTTATATCTCACTTTAATAGATCTTTTTGTCTGTCCATAATATTTTGCATCGCAGTCCTTACATTCAGTTTCGTAAATTCCAGACTTTTCCGAATTCTCGACTTTGTCTTTTAGACTTCTCAAAAGGATCTGCAGTGTATGACTTGTTTTAAAAACCACCTTCATACTTAGTTCCTTGAAAATCTTTCCAAAGTTCTTCGTATAATGGTGGTATGGAACTAAGATGTTTATCTTGGTTTTTGTCCTTTCTGGAAGTCGAGATTTCGTTCATTCTTAACCTAAACTTCTTTTTCTTAATTATGTCATCTACAATACCCCTCGGGAAACCGTTAGTGGCTGCTATTTCCTGTATTGTGCGTTTTTCTTTTGTGAACCTATCATGTGTTAGAGGGAAAGTCAAAAGACGATGCACTAAAAAATTCAACCCAGCACGTTTGTGCTGTCCACAGTGATGTGAACTGTCAGGAATATACCTGTACGTGCTTGTTTCTTTTCTAAATATATCGTATTCTAACCCTCCATCTTTGCTCATCGTCACCAAAATGTCAAGAAATGGTAATTGTCCCTTATTTTCTAATTCATACGTGAATTTTATTGATGGACATCTATTATTTAAAAAGGAAACAAAGTCCTCGATATTCGATGGAAACTAAAGAAAAGTCAAAGTACTTTCCTAGGATTTGGCTAAGGTATGTGGATGATATTTTCGCGGTATTCGATTCACGTTTAATGTGGAAAACGCTAAAAAAATTAATAAACCCTAAACAAATTGATAATGATTTCTGCAATGGCGTGCAATTCGAAAAAAAATGTCAGATTTTTTGTGTAAGAGATAAAGGAGAGATTTCTGGGCATTTTAATGAGTTCTTTGTCAATAGTATTGATGATATGGTGTCTAGTATTGAAGATATGGAGTTTTCTTGTAATATACAGTGGAGTGAAAAAAATTCAATAATTTTAAATTAATATCTATACATGAGTTAGGTATAATTATGAAAAATCTAGAAAATAAAGGAAGTCAAATTTATGAACTAAACAGTAAAGTTGTGAAAAATAGCTTTGATGTTATTGGTCAAGTGTGTTTTCACTTTGTGAATGTATCGTCGGAAAATGGCACATTTCCCGAGGAATTAAAAACCAGCAGTGTTACACCTATCGAAAAGGTTGCAAATACTACTAAAAGTGGTGAGTTTAGACCAATCAATTCTTCGCCATTTGAAGAAAAGCTATTAGAGACAGTAGTTTATCAACAGTTATTAGAATATATTAACTCAAATAATTTGCTATTCATTAATCAGACTGGCTTTAGATCAAAGCACTCATGTGAATCAGCTATACAACTCACTGTCACTAAATGAAAGGAAAAATGAGTAGTCATCTGTACACTATATCAATATCACTAGATCTAAAACGGGCTTTTACAACAGTAAATAGAGAGATATTATTAAAAAAAACTAAATAAATATGGTGTAGAGGGTAGAGTATTCAATTGGATCAGAGGATACCTTACAAATAGAAAACAGACAACAAAAATTTGTGATGTAATGTCGTCAGCTATTACAGTAAATCATGGAGTTCCTCAGGGTAGTATTTTGGGCCCTCTATTGTTTTAATGTATATTAATGATATGGAAAAATATGTTGAATGTGACTTCATTCATATATTCGAAGATGATAATCTGATATCAGTAAGTGATGGGAATATCAATAGAGCAGTGATCAAAATAAATGATGTGCTGAAAAATATGGATTGATATTTGAAAATGAATAAATTGAAGTTAAATGTAAGTAAAAGTAAGGCAATGATAATTAGTAGACCTTATAAATATAAACAAGTAAATAGTAGTTACATTAACATAGAAATAAACAACGAAAAAATTAGAATTGTATAGGAATTAAAACATTTGGGATTTATGTTGGATAATCATTTATTATTCAGTAGCCACTTTGAATATATCAAAAAAAAAAAAATTGAAAAAACTGTATTTCTTTTTTAGAGTATCCCAAAACTTAAGTCTGAATTCCAGAATAACTGTGTATAAGACTATCATTCAACCTCATTTTGAATATTGCCCTACATTACTATACTGCTTTGATCTGAATAAAATATCCCAATTACAAAAGCTACAAAATCGAGCAATGAGAATAGTATTTTAGGTCAACTCCTATATCATTGATATTAAATTTTACAAAAAGGATTTGAAGCTTTATATCTTCTATTAATTATCTGCGAGCGCTTTCGACAGTTGGTAGTACTGTCATCTTCTAGACATTCCTCAAACTGAACTAAATATACAGAACAAGGATCAAGCCACCCCAACAGACAAAACAACACAAAGATGGACAGCATTTACGTACGTAGGACACCAAACCAAAAATCTAACAAATGTCTTCAAACCACTGAACATCAACATCACATACAAGCCAAACACGAAGATAACACAAAAAATAAACAACTATGAAAAAGACGACGACAAAGACCAAAACGGAATATAGAGTATACAATGCTCGGACTGCAACAAATTCTATATCGGCCAAACCAAGAAAAAACTGATCCAAAAGTACAATGAGCACAAAAGTGACCAACACAACCATTTTACAAAATATTCAGGCAATCTAAAATCAATTAAAAAGAAAACAAGTATTGGGCAAAATTCGATTTATTTTAAAGATATCAAGTTTTACAATGAGTTACTGAATGCTTTAAAAAATGTTAATAAACAAACATTCCCGATCACTTTGAAAAAATATTTATTGTTTAAATAGATGTATTCTCTGATAAAGTGCATTTATTTGCATGTTGACTATCAAGTTGATGTTGATGTTCATGTTTCAATTCTGATTCGTCTTTTTTTTTGGTGCTTTGTTCGTACTTAGTTGTGTTATAGTTAGTTTTTGAATTATTGTTTTTTCCCTGCAATAAACATTGTTTGTTTCTTGGGAAGATAAATCGTTATTATCATAATAAGCTTGATGAAGCTATTGTATAGCGAAACATGTGTTGCAGTTTTATAAACTGTTTAGTGGAAATCACAATAAAATGTTACTCTAATTAAATTGAATGGTGAATTGAAATTATTGCCTAAATTCATCAAATGATAATCTGACAAGTACATAAGAAATCACATATTTGGTATCACATTCATTAATACAAAACTTTCAATCTTTTTAGGACATCTCCGACCTATTTGGTGCTGATTTGCCAGCGGAAGGTGGAACTGGTGGCCACTTTTCATGGAGGGATGGTCCCCTTCTTCAAGCATTGAAGAATGGAAGTTGGATTTTACTAGATGAACTGAATCTAGCTTCACAATCGGTTTTGGAGGGCCTTAATGCTTGTTTAGATCATCGAGGAGAAATTTATATTCCTGAACTTGGGAAAACATTTTTCGTTCAACCAGGTACATATTTCATAGAACTCATGACTTGCGTCAATAAGTTTTTTCTATGACTCTTACCAAAAGTATCGATATTCACAAAGCTTTTTTTTTTTAGGTACGAAATTCTTTGGGTGCCAAAACCCCCTGAAACAAGGAGGCTGTCGTAGAGGTCTGCCTCAATCATTTCTCAATAGATTCATCCAAGTCTATGTCAATTCTTTGACAGACCGAGACCTTCATCATATTCTCTCGAATCAGTTCAATCACTTGCCATCGGAAATCATCACGAAGATGATCGAATTTAACACAAGAATTGCCAATGAACTCAATAGTCATTCTTTCGGTAACAAAGGGGCACCGTGGGAATGTAATTTACGTGATTTAACAAGATGGTGTGAAGCGATGATTTATCACTTCAAATTGAATTCTACCTCTAATAGACAATATCAACCAGAAAGTGTAATGAATTTGATATATGGTAACCGAATGAGGACTGTTTTGGATAAAACTAGAGTGGAAGAATTATTCATGGAAGTTTTCAGTTGTAAAGTACGCGGATCATGTCCCATACTGTATGTCAGTAAACGTGATCTGTACATTGGGGACGTCTGTTTAGAACGGTCTAACAGGGGGGTAAACGTTAATGTTTTGAAGCAGGAAAAAACTGGTTTGGTTTTGAGGTCTCAGTTGAGTGTTTTGAGAAGTTTGGCATATTGTGTTAATTTAAATTGGATGACAATATTGGTGAGTTGATATTGTATAATGTTTGTAGGGTATTTGATTTTGAATATTCTTGTAGGTTGGCAACTCCGGATGTGGTAAAAGTAGTGTGGTAAAAACTTTAGCAGTTCTTGCTGGCAAGACGTTGAAAACACTTCCAGTTACATCAGCAATGGACACTACTGATATTCTTGGAGGTTTTGAACAGGTATTTTTTTTTGTTAAAAATATTCGTTTTCCTTTTCATTTATTGTGTACATTATTTTTCAGTTATTTTCTTGTTATTCAGTAGTAATTTTGGAAGAAAGTAACAACATATTGAAAGCAGATATTTTATTTCTATTATGGCTTGATTTTTAGTGAATATTGGTTGAATTTGATACCATAAAGAACAGACCTTTTTGTTTAATTTTTATTATTTTTCACGAACATGTATTTCTACCTCTAATTTGAATTGTTTATACATTGGATTGATCTCATAATTTAATTCAGAAATGTCAAACTTGACCCAAAAACATTTACACAGATGTAGTTTTCACAATCTGGCAAACATGAACTTATTATCGTACTAATGATGCATTTAGTTATGGTACATTCAGTGTCAAAATAATTAGTATAAGGAGTGTATAGTAATTATATTTCAATCTTTTTATGTCAACACTCAGCTAGTATGTGTTAAGAGCAAGAAACTCAAGAGTAATAATACAGTTTACAGTCCACTACATTCTGGTGCTTTCAAGAAATTATCATTTATGGCAAAACTTGTGACTTGCAAATCACTCGACTACACATATTTTTGTGTCAATTACAAATAAATACAGAAACGACAAACTTACCTTGACAGTTGTAAAAAGACATGATTTCTTTTTGAGCTACACCAGGGTGCATCATTCTAGCTTCATTATTTGTTAAATTTGACAAATGTAATTTTTCAGCCTATGATTAATATAGAATTGATGGTGTCTCAATTCAGCTCAAAATTACATAATTCCTTGGTTTTACATAATATGAAAAATATTCTCTGACAGCACGTAGACTATCTGAATCTGTCCAAATTTCCAATACTATATCTTTATAAAACGGAAAATTAGCTCATCATGGTTTGGGAATATATTATTTTCCGTTCACGTATATTCAAAGAAACTTCTATATTTTCAATAAACACCTGAATTAACCCTTAATGAAATGCAAAATCGAACAGAAAGAGATATCAGTTTCCTCAATAAGTTTATTCTGAGTAACAAAATAAAATAATTGAATAATTACTTATTCAATAAATACAGAATACAAATAAAAGTATCTAAATGCGGCTTTGCTCTATTATATTAAATGAGTTAACCAAATGATAAATTTTACACCAAAAATTACTACCAAAAAAATACCCACTCTGAAAACTGTTTAACAGTCACACAAAGTATTTATAATTCGACATAACACAGTATATAATATAGTTCAAAAAAACTTTACAGATAGCTTTATAACAATCCGTGTACTATGGATATTTCTTGGGAAATGATTTTGTCAATTTTTTAAATTTTTCTGCAGATCAACAGAAAATCTGTAGTGTAATAAAGGCTTCATGAAAATTTCACTCAGTTAGTAATTTGTATTTTATAAAAATTGTCTACCGAATGAAATTAATAAAAAAAAATACATTGAGGGCAAACTTATGTCTTTCTCTTTGACGGTAAGAACAAAACTATATTAAGTTTCAGATTGTGGTAGATTAGAGAGGTTGTCAGTACCATTGGAGACACTGCTATGTATTTTCTACGTTTTTTTCATTGAATATATTTAGTTTCTTCTTGAATATATTGGAACATTGGAACACAGTTAGTTATTTCTTCAATAATTTCAGAAAGCAAATAAAGAAACTTCATCTACATTATTGGAATGCCCATTTCATTAAAGTTTTCCTACGAAAAGACCATAGATAATATCTACTTTCAATTTCACGTTGTTACGAGTATTAATTGAAAATTATATATATTCACATTCAAGCCTCACCATTGGGATCTCGGAAACTATGAGAGATACGAAGATCGTTACCTTACTGGCCACCTCACCAGCCCATTATTCCCTATACATTTATCACCAAACCTGTCAGTCACGTAATTAGATACTCATCTGGTAGTGTGTGGTAAAGCACCATCATGTTGAAACCAGATGTTGTTATAGTTAGCCAAAGGTAGATCATTCAAATATTCTTCGAAAATCGACATTAAAAACTGCTGATAGGTTTCTCCATTCAGAATTCCATCATATAAATGAGGACCCAAAATTTTATCTTTGTAAATTCCTACCCATGCGTTAGTAATAAATCGCCCTTGAGGTCGAATTTCTCGGAACTGTCTGGGGTTGTTTATGCCCTATACTAAAACCAATAATGATTGAGAGTAGAAGGTAAGCCCAGTTGACAGCAAATCGGTGGCGTGCTTATTAATTTTTGAGAGGGTTAAGAATGAAAGAAAAATTCTTAGTACAATTAGTTAAAATATAGTTAACCCATGTCTCGACCATGAAGTACAATTTTTTTTTGAGCTTCCGAAATTCGTCAATTTTTCTTAGATAGTTTCTTCTCCATGCTATTATTTCTTGACGTTCAATGAGAATGCTTTTCCTGTCAACTTTTCCGTGCGTAAATTTCATTTCGTGTACAAGTTTCCTAAACGTTTCTTTACCCATTTTTGGGACCAATTCATGATCGCTAAGTGCCTCCAGAACTGTTTTTAGTGTGGGCAGCTTATTTCTGAAAAAGAAACTGTGAATAGTTCTGTGTATACTGGTTTTGGCTTCTTCATCAACTGTGATTTTTTTTCGTCCGCTACTAGTTTTTGGCGTTTGTACGGCCCCATGAATTTCTGCTTCTCTTAGTATTTTGTAAATCGATGATTTTGGTACACCGGTATCATCAGAACACATATCAACTAATTTATCTTTTGTAATTGTGGAACTTAATGATGTAGAAATGCCCGGTTGGTTATTCGGAGGTACACACGTCGAATTACAGCACATATGCACAAAGTCATCTTTTGGTGGCTGATGATCTCTTTCAAGACAGTGAAATACTCGCAGTACAATTTGTTTTTCTCTTACTGACCGAGACTCCGACCGTTTTACCTTTTTCGACGTGGAAGGCCCGACCATGTCTCCCATTTTTTGAGTAGTTTGAGAACGGTGTAGAAATATAATTATGTAACGCTTAAACACTTATTAGCACTATTATTTTCACCAATTGTTATCACAACACGTCGATTGCTGACTAACTTAACTGTAAAACGTACAATTCACGCTGTATAATTCACAAACCAATGATACGCTCATGGCTGCAAGTACATTAGTGAGGACTGCAATGATGAGATGGAAGTTACGGTAAAGTGACAAAGACAGAAATATCGTTGCGTACAGCGTTGCCACTAGTTGTAATAAATATCTAACACTATACAGAAAATAATGAATTTTAACTGATCAGTAATCAGGAAATGTATAAGTATTACTCATTACAAGCTCATTACTGATTTTTGTCATAAATGATACCTTTTAATCGTAATAGTATTGTGTATTATCTATAATTTGCCACAACCTACAACTCTACTGCTTACTATATTTTGATTCTGCTATAAACTGGTAACGTATAATTTAGATATGACAACGCGCTTTACTCTCAATCATTATTGGTTTTACTATAAATGTGTTCGTTATTTCCGTTGAATATCCCACTATTCGTAAAAGTGCTTTTATCTGTCCAAATTACATTTTCCAGGAAAACAGGAAAATCAGTTGTTATTAGCCCATTACAAAATTCTAATCGCCTTTTGGGATCACCTGGATGCAATTTTTGAGATATATGTATTTTGTAACCCGTGAAATCGGAAACAGCGGCACAGCAACGAAACGTTAGTCTGAAAGCAAGTTCACACTGCCTAAGCCTTTGCGATTGTATCTCACCAGGCGATGCCGGGTGGGACCAGCATCTACCATCTATTACCTACAGATCTAAAAACATACAAATAAAAAATTAATGCAATCTCAACAAAAAATTAATCATACAAAATATACTTTTATAGTGTTCACTGCGAAACTTGTTGTTTGCTTGTAATTAAAATATCAACATTAGGAGTAATGGAACTTATTGAGATTAAACTTCCTCTTGGAGATGATCGCTTGGTGATCGAAACATGTGTCGAGGTGTTAAAATAACGGTTTGGTGTTGGGAAGAAACTTCAGTAATATTCATTACTACACCAAAGGTTCCAAACAGTGCTTCACAAGTACATCAAGATTTATCTTCAAAATAATCTTTCATGGAACTATCTTCTGTAAGATCAATAAAACTTTTTTCAGTTCCAATTCAATAAGTGAGGCTCCCGAAAAAAGATTTGATTCAGTCAACTTTTGAATATTCTTCAGATAAATACTTTTTTGAAGGCCTTCCGAAGGAGCATCGATATCTGGCGTTGGAAATATTTCATTTTCTTCAAAAAATGATGATGGAGTGGGAAATGCAGATACATTCTCCTCCTGTATTTGTGAACAAAACAGGACTAACTTTCTCTTGAAGGAGTTTATTTTCTAACTGTCTGTGAAGGCTGTTGTGTTTGGTCCCAGAAGTCCCAAGTTCAGTGTGTTGAGTTTGTCAAAAATGTCGGCTGGATAAGCCAATCTTGACAACCATTCTTCATCAGCAAACAATTTTTTTATGTCATGTTTTTTTTTCATTTGAAAACAAAAACTTCTGATCTCAGTTCGAAGAGACGGATCAAAATTTTCCCCCGAGATAACCACCTCATTTCTGTATGCAGGAGTAAAGTTTGGACCTTGCCATCCACCTCTTCAAACATTATGGAGAAGAATCTTGTGTTTAATGCCTTTATGAAGTTAATAACTTTCACAGCACCTGATAGAACTGAGTTAAGATTTCCCGGCATACTTTGAGCAGCTAACGCTTCTCGATGGATGACACAATGCGTACTGTTGCATTTAGGAGCAACTCCATTCATTTTTGCTGCTAGCCCTGTCGTCAATCTTCCTGACATAGCCTTAGCCCCATCTGTACACAAGCCAATACACTTGGATCAAGGAATTCTACTTTGAGAACATATTCATCAATTACCTTGAAAATGAGTTCCGCTGTGGTATTTGGCTCAAGTGGTTTGCAGAACAAAAATTCTGCCATCACCTCTTCATTATAATCAAATCGCATGAAAATAAGTAGCCGCGCCATGTTTGTAACATCTTGGTGCTTTCGTCCACTTGAAGTGCAAAATAAGTGCATTTTTTGAGTTTTAAAGCGAGTTGTAGTTCAATATTATTATACATATCGGCAATTCGTTTCTTTATTGCGTTTTTTGACAGTGTGACAATATTGTGAGGCGGAAGAATGTTGGCGTGGCGGAAGACGGGGAAGACATCTCGGTCGCCCCACCCCCGGAGCCGTCACTCCTCACGCGTACCACCTGAAGCACCCACTCAGGCGTACCACCTGTAACGTACCACCAGTGGTACGCGTACCGCCGCGCTACTCCTACTGTAGTATAATATTTTGATCTATTTCGTAGGACTCAACCAGCGTTTGCAATGTAAGCGCAAAAAAGTGTTTTGATTATGACATCACATTAGAAACCTTTAAAATGATCGGTGTTTCTCTACTCTATTATACATTTTATATACATATAAACCTACCTCTTGAATCACTATCTAATAAAATAACCCGCATCAAAATCCGTTGCTTAGTCTTAAAGATCTAAGCATACATAGGGACAGACAGCGGAAAGTGACTTTGTTTAATACTATGTAGTGACTAGCTGTTGTCCGCAAATTCGTTCAGATAAACAAACAGACAAAAAATTATTATTTTAAGTTCTATGACGTTAATAAAAAGTCCCCAATAATAGTTTTTCTCAAATATCTTTCAAGTACAGACAGTGGCAGCAGTCAAATACACATTTGTTATATGTATTAAAATGTATTCAAAACGAAAAATCTTTAACCCAAAAGTGAAAGCATCTTGTGTATTTTCACTCCAATCCTAGTAATATCGTTTTGAAAAAAAATCGTGTTCAATAACGTGCGATTTCCGTGTTTTCCAATTCAGATCAACTAGATAGTTAAAAAAAATATTTGATATCAATTAGACCATCTTCTCTTGGGCACCTTCCCAGCCAGTTCCAACATACCAATCAATTACTTTTACATATCTCTCGCTCAGCGAAATGCTGAAAAATAATGATTTATTTTTTTTATCGCCATTTCAGACCAATTACAGTCGACACTTGGATGAAATCGCCAAAGAAGCAGAAAGACTATCGTTTGAGGCCATTCAGGAATTACTTATAGGCAAGAGGACGGAAGAGGCGATAGATCTGATCTCTCGATGGGAGGCTTATCGAGACTTGAAAGGTGAGTGGTATTTCATGAAGTAATTTTAATTTGTTTGTGTTCGGAGCACGTTGCTAATTATGATCAGAACCAGATTAATACATAAGCTAATTGGGCCCTAGCCTAAAAGGCGTCGCACCGTGATATTTTTATTTTTTACTAGCGATTTGACACGGCTTTTCACAGGAAGCATCATTTTGCGTCCATCAATAGGCTCGGTACATTACATTTTCCTTTCGTGAGTATTTTACGTTCGTATATCGGACGCAAAATAGTCATCGTAAATATCTCTCTAGATAAACGACTGAAACCAACCATATTACAGATTCCCAACGGATATATTCATGGCTTGTTTCTGGTTCAGTTAATTTTCCTTCTTTCCTTACCAGATGTCAGTAATAGACAATTCAATGGAAGTAAGTTAGTGCCAAAAATGAAAGTAAATATTCATTTTTAGTTCATCATAAATCCGATTGGGAGCGCAAGCATATATACATAATGTATATTTTCATTTCACTTCACGCATTAAATTGACTCCTATTTGTCCAAAAGTCGTGGCAACCCTGTAATACCCATTAAACGTGACTTCGGGACTCCCAGATCAGAATTTCCATATATTTGTATTGAAGTCTGAAAAGTTGAAGTTGATAAACTATAAAAAAATTATAACGAAAGCATTAGCAGTTACGATAACATTATAAATTTGATCATTACGGATTAAAGTTCCAGGGTTTCTCAGTTCTGCTCGAATTAAAATTCTTAATGAAGTACCTAATATTCCTGCTCATACTCCAAAAATAAAATATAAAGTTCCAATATCTTTATGATAAGTCAAGAATAACCATTTGTTCGGTGGAATGGCTGAGAATAAGCAATAAATTGTTAATTTATTTTCTAAATGAAAATGTCTGCCAGTCTTATAGTCAAAAATGATTTTAAATTAAAATTCAAAATCTTTAGTTGGAGAGGAAATCAGACCAAGGTGCAGAAGTTTATGAGAATCATTTACCCTTTAACGAAAAAATTTGGGGGCTTATATAATTTATGGATCATCTCTTGAATGATTACAGAATTTTCCTCCTGTCAAACATGATTACTCAGAACTACCTTATCTAACTTCTAAATTCTAATATGGCAGATTAGTGCACTGGATTCAAACCCCATTTATAAAGTTTAAACTTTCTTTAGAAATGATGACTTGAAAATTCAATTATTATTACTGCATTAGTAGCCCAGTTAATTATAATATTATTTTTAAATAAATTTTCAAATCCATACTTATTAGAAGGGCAAACTATTGAAATTATTCGAACTGTCTTACCTACAATTACTTTAATTTTTATCGCTATTCCTTCCTTACGTTTAATTTACATTTTAGATGAAAAACTAAAAATAAGAAAAAATGAAAGCAGAGATTTCAAACCAAGCTACTTCACGACACGTTTCAATTATTATTATCTGCAATCGTCCTCAAATGAACACTGATGAGTATTTCATTTTAATTTTTTATATAACGGTAAAACTTATTTTAAACATACGTATTTGAGTGTTCTGATATTTTTTCAATTTCCTTCTAATTGTTCATTTAATTTCATTTCTCTTCCCATTTTTGATAAGTATTTCTTTGTAACTATCTCAGCTGAATATTTTGGACCACTTCCTTCATTGATCCAAATAACTTAACTATTGACATGACTATTAAGAATTTTGCTCACTCAATTAGATAAAATTTTGTACTGAATTTGGAAGTTGGATTGCTTTTTAAAAATTATGCTTCATCTCTGTTCATAACTTTTTCACAAAATTTTCATAAAAGCTGCTCATTTTCGTCTTAACATATGTCGGGAAAGACATAACATGAATGAGAGTGGTGAAATCTAAATTTCAATTGGTATCTTACGATTTGATTCTTTGGCAACATCGCGGATGCAAAATAATTGTTATGTACAAATAATATAGGTACATTTGCGGATGCAAAAAAGTGCTGGACATGTGAACAAAATGTACAGGAAGGAATCAATATAGATAGTGAAGCAAAAGGAAGCAAAATCCACTTGAAAGTGAAGAAATCGTATATATATATTTTTTTTGAAAATAGAGAAATATGACATGACATGAAGTTTGAGAATCTTAGCGACTGGAGATATGTACAGTAAAATAAATTAACAGGGTCTCTCAGTCAAAAAATCAAAACTCTGCTTTACTCTGCCAAGCTTTCGCTTCTAATGGGAAGCTTCTTCAATACTGGCAGTAATACAAATTCCGATATAATCAACAGAAATTTATGTAATAATATTTCCCCTATCAATTTTTCTCATAAATCTATACCTAATCTTGTAAATTTATCTTCAAATATAATAAAACTTTTTTCATAATGAACAAAATATCAAAATATGCCAAAAAAATATCAAAACTATCAAGAATTTGAATACCAAATTGAAAGATGAAACGGATACTACAAAAAAGTCAAATGTGATTTATAAGATTCCTTGTAACAATTGTAATTTGGATTATATTGGAACAACATTTAGAATTATTAAAGATAGAATAACTTCACATAAAAGTGATCATGTGCATTAGCGCAACATTCTATTGAAACAGGACATAAACCAAATTACTCCAATATCAAAGTTTTACATTCAGAAAAAAACATTTCCAAACGCCTTTTCCTTGAAATGGTTGAAATCAATAAGTCTTCTGATTATATGAATAAGAGAATGACATTGATAATCTCAGCAGTATATACAGTAACTTATTGGAACTACACCAAAAAACACAATGATAATAATGAAAATTGTATCAATCAACTCTCCCTTTAGAGTCAAAGATTATCAAATCATCATGCCCATTGAAAAATGGCATTTATGTGAAGGTATGACATTTGTCAAACCAAAGAAAAATCCATCAATATTTAACTCTCTTTCGTCGATTTATATGTTCGAATCATTGTTTTTCACTCATTTTTACTAAAAGTATGAATTGTAATGTTATTCATTGGCAAAAAAAACGCACAACTCAACTTCCTCTTGAAGATGATCACTTGGTGATCGAAACACGTGTCGAGGTGTAAAAATAACGATTTGGTGTTGGGAAAAAACTCCAGTAATATTCAAATATTAAGAATATCAATGGTACCTCCTTTCAAATCTGTAATTTCTATTCACAACGACTGAAATTCATTCATCTAGAATCCTTGTCTAACGGAGGTGACATTATTACAGATTATCGCTTGATCCAAAGCCTCAAAGTTACAAGCATATTCATCATTGAGATTGCTCACTCGAACTCGGTAACAGAAGTGATTAACTGTGCAAAGCATGCACCATTTCTTCACGTTTAACAGCTTCATATAGCATCTCAGCAGCAGCAGATTGAGTTATATATGATCTTTGTGAACCTGTCTCGATAATAACTCGTGCCACCCGTGATTTACTGGATCCTTTGACTTTCACATTTAATGTTTGTAAAAATACTTCGGAGTAGGTATTATTTAACAAAACATTCTAAACATTTATTTCTTTAGACTATGATACAAGTGCTTCAGTTTTCGAACACATAATATCAACATGTCTGCCATTGCAAATCGAGCATATAGAATTGACTCTGCATTTCTTAGCAATATGTCCAAATTTGAGACATAGATAGCAACAACAGTGATCAATCAATCTCTTCTTTCGCTCTGATAGAGTCCTCTTTTTCACTTCCGAACAGTCTTCAGTTTTATGTCTGTCATTACAAAATTTACATTTCTTTTGGTCTCTGCTGTTCAATAATCCTGAATCAGTAGGAATCATAGATTTTGAAGTAAAGTCAAAGTGTTTTTTCGTTTTTACATTTATATCAAAACCAGAGACTGCCAACGATACTCGCTCATCATTTTGTACTTCTTTTCTAAAAAAGGTCATTAGGTTCTCCAAACGAGCTTTCAAAGTAGAATCGACATCATAGCCACTGCTTCTCTGCCAAACTCTGATAAGATCTTCAGGAAGGCAGGATTTCACGAGTGGATACAACATGGCTGCACACGTATCTGATTTAACATCCAAAGTTTCCAACGATCTCGACTGTGATTCTAACATATCATATAAGAAAGTCAGTTTTGTTTTATTCTTAATGCCATTAATAACCAATTTTAGTAGTTCTCGTACTTACACCTCCACTAAGAGATATTTTCTTCCAAACCTGCCTTCAAGGCTTTCTATTACCTTAGAATAGTTATCTGCTCTGGGTGGGTAATTCTCTACCAACTGACGAGCACGAGACTCAGGAATGGTTGCATGAAGAAGATATTGAAATTTGTCTTCCTTTGCAAGATCTATATCATCGTGTATACGTTTGAATTGACTCCAAAATGGAAGCCAGTATTTCACATCACCTCCAAATTTCTGGAATTCAATAGTTGGTAGCTTCAACTTAGGTTTGGAGTGAGAACAGTTGGACGTTATGCTGTCAGTTTCATCGAAAGATTCACTAAATTACTTTCAATAATACACTTCAGTTCATGATATCTGGTCATGTATTCATCAGCCAATCCAATCTCCTCACTTAAAGAATCGGGATCTTCTTTTAACAATAAATCAAATAACTGCTTGTCGAAATCACTCATTGTTTTAACTTTTTGATTTAATAACCGTACTTTTTCTCTAACTTCAATAACATTCGGGCTTCCATCCTTCAGTAGTTTACTCACAGCATCATAAATTCGAGTAAAGGACCCTTTCTGAGCCTCTAGCATTTTCTTCACCATCTCCATATTCAGCAAAAACTTTGTCCTGTCAAGGTCATCAAAATGTTCGTTTTCGAAAAACACCTAACTGGTGAGTGAAAAAGTCTAATATGGGGATGGAATAGCTTCTGAGACTAGGATCAATTAAAACGTTCTGGTTTGTTATGACGTTTATCTTGACGTTACAAAATATTCAATATGACATATTAACACTAATAATTATACGGAATGATCCAATATTATTCCAATAAAAAAATGTAAGACGATTCACAACAACATTAAAATTCATATCTTTTATTTCATTCGGCAGACTGTTGAAAAAACGGCAGCCTGCATTGGTGGACGATTAAACACTTTATAGTAATTATAGTATAGTATATTGCATACCGTGCACTTATGGAAAGGTATATATCGGAACCACCAAACGATCCATGGGAACAAGGCTGAAGGAGCATGAAAGAAACTGCAGACTGGGTCAAACAGAAAAGTCAGCTGTGGCAGAACACATATTCAGTGAAGGAAACCACAAGATTCTGTTTGAAAACACAGAACTCATTGCCCCCAACCAGGGATCTCATAGCCGAGTGGTACAGAAGGCAATAGAGATCCACAAACACACGGATAATTTCAACAGAAAAGAAGAAACGCTGAACCTCAATCGAATATGGAATCCCATTCTAAGAAGTTCAAGGATAGCAATCAGCATGACGGCAGGTAGAAAAGAGTCAATGAATGTTAACGAGAAATTACCTGATCCAGGTTCAGGTATTAGCACTCTAAACTACATGATACAGCATAAATACGTGTTAAGAAACCGTAAGTTCCAGTCATCGGATAGTAATCCAGAATGTATAAACCTCTGAAGAAGCTAGCCACTCGCGCCAGCGAAACGTCAGGAAGAAATTCCAAAAATCCACGGCCTTCGAACCCGAAAAATAGTGACACTGAAAACCTCGGCCGCGAAAGCCCTAACCCATTTATCGGTCCAAGAGTGTATTGATATTTATTTATTTTCAGATACCAAAAATTATACCTTGGAAGAGGAAACGAAACTATTCCACAGAAAATCTGAAAAATTGCAGGATATATTCGAAATTCTTAAAAAAACCGCTTCACTGGAAACCATAACTACATATGAGTATTTGCAAGGAAACTTGACTGAAGTCACAAAGGCAGTTAAGGGCGAAGGATCTCTGAATGCTGGAGGAAAATTTGAATGGGTCGATTCGGTACTCGTAAAGGTAAAATATAAATTTCGTTAGTGAATTACAAGTTAAACTTTGAAATTTCCATAGAAAAGCACTCTTTTTTTTCTAATGATTTCTGTTTCATTAATCGATTGTTATGAATATTTGAATAGTTGCATTCAGTAAATTGTTGATTATAGAAGAAAACACAATATTAGATTGTTTTATAGTGTCAGAACCAAATGAAATTAATAGTTTTTTGTTAATTCATATATGTTGCATTTATTACAATTGAATCTGCTAATGAAAAAGTAGTAACTTAGGATACCTCAACTTATTTAAAACAAGTACTATCTGTATTTATAATAATTGGAATTGAACCTTCAACTTAACATTTCATGACGAAAATCACTATTTCTGACTTCCATAAAAATAATTTTACAAATGAGCAAGTGGGGCTCTGATTAATCTTGAAACAAATCAGTTATCAGTCGGCCAATCATGTTGTAAATTATGGCGAAGGATGAGATTTGCCAATACACCTTCACCAAAAAATTAATAATACTGAAATAATACTGATATATAGCCAATTTAACAAAGTGCCTTCTACATAATCACAACACCTCATGATGCATTTAGTAAATAGGATAGGGTATTTTTCTGCCTCTTTGCCAATCAGTTATTTCAATATAATTGGAAATATAATATTTTTTCAGTGTCTCCAAAATGGTTCTTGGTTACTGGTGGATAATGTAAATTTGTGCAGTTCAGCTGTACTAGATCGTTTGAATGCTCTCTTAGAGCCTAACGGCGTTCTGGCCGTTTCTGAAAGAGGCGTCGATTCCAGTGGAAACATCATTGAAATAAGGCCCCACAAAGATTTCCGAATGTTTTTCACCATGGATCCCAAAAATGGAGAGATATCTAGGTATATATGAATTTTTTTTCTCATATTATGTTTATGAAGGTTTTCGAAATTTCCGAAATTCATTCATAGTACCAAAATGCCATATCGCTGACGAGTATAGGTACAAATAATCGAGGAGTTTCAAAATGTGTTTTTTTCATTTTTGGGTTTTTTGAATACTATCAATTTTTTTTCGTCCTCACAACATAATTTATGTATTTTTAAGATTTGACAATATTTGTATATTCGCAAGTCTTACTTTTTTTCTTTTACACTTCCGGTTTTCAAATGATTTACTCTTTTTGTAGTGGGGGTCTTAATCTCCAAAACATTTTCAATTATATTTTAAACAAACATGTAATTTTGTTTTAAATTTCATTACTCTTATATCTATTTTGCACACTACTGAAAAAATTTATTCCATTCACAGGGCTATGAGGAACAGAGGCATTGAAATTTATATGTTCGACATAAATGAATCAAGCAACTCTAAATTTGACATAATGAGTCTAATTAATCACGAAGGATTACAGTCAACGAACCAGATAATGATCCTGATGAATATCCACACTTTCATTTCTCAATTGATTTTAGGAGAAAAACCTACTATCAAAGAACTACTGCAAGTTTCGTCTTTGATTGCCCAACAACAGACTTGTAACATAAGTTTGTTTGAAACTTTCTTTGGCACCTTTATAGATGTATATTTTAAAACGAGATCTCCCACGGAATTTGATTCCAATGATCCAGTCACTGCTATCAAAGAAGAAATTGAGAAGAATTTTGTTGAGTACAATATCATGGGGTCTTCTACTAAAGTGGCACATACAGATATGTTTGATAATGCCATAACTTTGAAAACGCAGAACATTGAAACTTGCTCCACAATCGAAAAAGTTAAGCAGCAGTCGACAATGATTTTGACTTATTTGTCAAACAGTTCATGCACTGATTTTGATAAAGTACATTCACTACTGAATTTCTTTTCAATTACTTCTCTTGAAGATTTGGATACCAGACTTGTTTACATTAAATCCAAGTTAGTCGATAAAAATTATTTACATCTGATTGAAAATTTCTGTCATATTATATCTGAATTAAAGAACGAGAGCAATTCATCGCTTCCACTAGATCATAATTGGCTTCCATATACATCGTACCAACGAAACAATTCGTTGTTCAGTAATAAATTAAATTTAATGCTTTTAATGGCTGCACATAGTTTTTTGGAAAGGACTGAAGTTGAAGGAAGAAAATCAAATAAGAAGGCAGTAGCTTTACTAGATTACATGCTCGAAAAGGAACAAAAAACAATTGAAGACAAATTCAACGATATAATTGTCAACAATTATCTTACGTTAATCAAACGATTTGATACTTATTTATGGAACCTTCCGTCTAGAATATCTGACATTACTGATGAAAAAGTAATTCGCATAATGCATCTAATCTTTTGGAGATTTATATTCCATAAATGTTCCTTGAAGAATATCAAAAAACTATCCCCTACCAAACAGCATGGTGTCCTGGTAAACTTGTCTATTCATTACAAATGGTTTTATAAATATTCCATTCGACAACTTGTGAAGATAACTAATGTTGATTTGCCAAACGACCTGGAGGAAATTGTAGAAGCAATTAATTCTAAACTAGATCAGCATTTTTCAGTATTGCAAAAATTCGGCAGGTATTACCAGAAAAATACCAGTAGAACCCCACCCTTCATAAGCCATTACCAGCTTGAGTTAGTATCGAAATATAATAATTTAAAACGGTGCTATGATTTGGGTCAAAAAGGAAATGATGTTGCCAATATTCTGGCTATTTTTAAATCTAATAAAAAACTTCGAAATTTTCTTGTCGGTATCAGATCAAAGTTAAAGTACAACTTCACTGATGTTTCTGAGGACATTGATCTATTGAAAATGGAGCATGAGAAATGTATATCGGAGAATATAAAGGAAATTTCCAGATTTGAATTGGAACTTGTTCCAGTCTTGGATGTGCTCACACAACTGGAAATCAAATCTGAAGAAATAGGCAATCATGCAAATACATTTGAAAATAATATTTTAGTTCCTACAGATTTTTGTGGAACAGTAGCATTGTACCAGCACACAAAAGATAATAGACTTCTTCATGATCTAACAAAGTTGTATTATTTGTATCTGATAAATTCTGCCAGTGCCAGACCAAATCAATACTTGAGCAGAACTGATGGCAAAGAAATTACTTTGAGTGGTTTCAATCCAAAAGTGACATATTTCATAACCACTTTATTAGTTGACATTCAGAAGACTGAGAATTCAGGCAGTATAACACTGGGAAACTTTAGAGCACTAATGAAGCAGCATGACACACTGAGTTTTATTTTATGGAGAAACTTTCACCAATTCTCTGAGAAGAAATATGACTATCTGTAAGTATTTTCATTTTGTTACAAAAACTTGAAAGAAAATAAACTTAATTGATAACATTATATTTTTTACGGGAGATTAGTTTTTGGGAAAAAACTTTTCGGCCTTGTACTTCTCCATGTTCATACCTAAAAATTGAAAAATTTCAGAAAAAAGAAGAAAGTCCATTTATAACAAGTACTTTCCAACATATTGAGTTATAAGAAAAACAAATTTTTATATTCAGTTTGTTTCAATTTCGTAAAAATGATTGAAGCACAAACTAGATAGTAATAAGAAAAAGTTGTTTTATGATTCATGACAATGAAATATTCTTCATTGTCATATATATAAATGAATAATACATGTACTACATCTCTTGTAGGTTTACATGTGCATGATAATTTTGTATATATTTATTTTATTTTGATCTTTGCATCAGACAAAAATATACAAAATACAATAAATATCTACACAAAGCTTCTACTACACACATTGTGTACAGCTTTTACTACCATCAATTTCTTTAAATTGTTGTCTGTTTTACAAAAAAATTAAAATCATTTAAAAAATTCAGAAACACATTGTTTATAATGGACAAAAGTTTTGACTTCATACAACCACCTTTTAGCCACAGTATAGAGTTATATTTAGACAAGACAAGACAATTTATTTTCCACTGAATGTTACAATACAAGTACCATACATTATGGGAATCGTCACTAATAAATAGGATATAATGATATTACAATTTCACTTTTTGGTCATAAAATAAAATAAATTAATATAAATAAATAGGTACATGTACACACTTTAAAAATTAATAAATGAAATATAAGTTTATCAATACTAATTAGGATTATTTATTAAAAATTTGAATCAATAGACTACTGTTTCATGTAGTCCGAGTCAAAATTTTCATTCAAAAACTCCTGAACTGAATAATAGCATTTCTGTACTAAAAACTTTTTTAGATAATTTTTAGATAAACTTGTGCAGAGTTCTCTAAATTTCTTAATTTCACATATTTTATTGTAGCATTTGATTCCTATATAATTGGGATTCTCCTGTCCGATTGATAATCTAGAGAAACATAAATTGATGGTGTCCTTCTGCCGCGTATTATGATTGTGAACATCCTTTCTTGTTTTGAGAGAGTTATGTTTATTTATGATGTGAACAATTATTGAGTAAATGTACAAGCTTGGTAATGACATAATACCCAGCTCAACAAAGTGGTTTTTACAAGATGTTTTGCTAGATAAATTCAGCATGCACCTTATAATTTTTTTTTGAGTGATAAATAATTGACCACTATTATGGGCTTTTCCCCAGAAAATCAGACCATATGACAGGCATGACTGAATAAGGCCAAAATATAGTAGTTTCAGTACTTCCATTGACACTGTGTTACGCAAGTTTCTAATAATGAAGCAATATGAGCTCAGTTTTGAGGATGTATGTTCAACATGATCGTTCCATGTGAGTTTTTGATCCAAGTGGACCCCTAAAAATTTTGTACAGGTCGAGTTTTCTAATGATGTTTCTTCAGTTTTAAGTAGTATGCTCTGGTTCACAGTGGCATTTTTTGTATTGAAGTAAACAGCTATTGACTTGTCTATATTCAGAGATATGTTATTATTACCACACCATTGGGTTATGTTTTTGATAGATTTGTCAGCTTTGTCCTGTATTTCCCCCCTTGATTGTCCAGTGATGATTAAATTAGTGTCATCTGCATAAATAATTGGATAGCTTGTTTTATTTACCTCCATGGGTAGATCAGTTATAAATATATTGAATAAGGTTGGTGACAAACATGATCCTTGAGGAATGCCTATTCTAGTTTCAATCGGCTCGGATCAGACACCGTTGATTTCTACTTGTTGATTTCTATTTGACAGATATGAATGTATCCATTCCAAACACGGGCCTCTAACACCAACGTAGTTGTTTCAAGTAGGCCTTTTCTTCCTGTTTGTACCTGAAAAAAACATTGTATCTTTGTAGAGAGTTTATTTTGAACTTTCTTCAAAAGTTTCCCAAAATATTTGTTTAAAGATGAAGTAGAAATCCAAAAAACTTTTTTCTCAACTAAACTATTCTTTATATTCTGTTTGACACTTTAGCTACATTATTTTACTTTTTCAGACGCTGTGAGATAACTAATATCACAAGAGTTCACAACCATTTCATTCAAGAAGTATCGAGAACTCTCAAAATTGGCCTTGCCCAGGATGATACTTCACATAGTTCAACCTTAAAACTGATTGAATCCCTCAAGAAAATGGAAGGCATGAATAAACCTTCTGATCACAAGGAAATGTATAAATTTACAAATCACTTACAAAACTGTTGCATGAATCTCAAGAAGCTTGAAAACAGCATCAGCAACAATGAAAAAATATTGACAGTTTCTGATCTTTACATGGAAATGGGCTTTCTCAAAGCTATCCTCAATTCAAAATTATCTCCGATTGACCCCCTGGTGAAGAAAATTTTGAAAAGACAGTACTGTACGAAAGCAACAGAGGTTTTCGAATCTATGAAAAAATGTTATGAATGGCAGAATGAAATTTATAGTAATTCTGTTGAAACAATACATGCTTATTGCGAGCCATTGAAGGCAATGATCGGAGAATTGGAAATTAAAAATGAAAAATTGAGTGAATATGTTGCAGTGCGACCAGAAAGTGTTGCATATGAATCAATTTTTAGGGTAAGTTCTATCCTATTAATAAAAAAGTATGAATTCCACTTCATATCAATAAGAAATCATTATTCTATGACATCAGATATAAATACAATAAAAACTAATAGTGTAATCACCTCATAGGTACAATTTAGTTCTTTTCCATATTTTTGTATCACAACTCATAACTTTTGGGAGAAGAATTTTCAGAAAAAAATTAAAAACTCGTTTGTAAAGTCTTCAACCCTCTAAATGGGGGGGTGTCAAATTTGTTTCAAATGGGAAAGAGTTATAGCTTATTGGAAAAAGCTTTCGATTGTTTATCCATTTCGGCTTCTCTTCAAAATACCAACAATATGTTGACTAGAAAATGCAAAAATCAAATACGTTTCAGTAAGAATTTGCTGCCTTAATCAAATAAATGCTGGAAATATTGTTTGCCAACCTCCATACAATAATACCAGTTCAAGTCATATATTTTGGAGCACTTGCGGCAACATTTCATGGCATACATCAATGTTCCATCCTGGCAGATTTTCAAATGAGTCAGGCGGGGTGAGATATACTTTTTTATGTGTCTCCACAAAACGATTAGATCTTATCTAGCGACCTTAAAAGCCGTCATTGTAAGTAATGTGCACTGTCTTTTTGAAACATAATTTCTTCTTCGGTTTATACAAGATCTTTCCTAATGATAATGATAGGTCGATAGCTTTTATGAATAATATCCATCGCATTGGTCAATTTTTCTTATACTTAGCTTACTATCCATTGCAATTTATTCCAATACTGGTTCCCAATACTATTCCCTATGGTTCCTTTATGTACCAAATTTCCACCATGCTTTTTTATTTTGAGCTGATCTAGTTTCCTAAAATTGTGCCATCAATACCCAAAAAATGTTCCAAGGAAGATGTCTCTTAGGATGTGATTGGTTAAATAGCTCAACAACCCAAGTTCCACATTCATTATTTTTTTTAAATGTTCAAAATATTCCACCATTTCCGGAATTGATTTTCCTAAAATAAATAAAAATAAATTTAAAAGATTATATACCTTAATTTTTCAACCATACTTCACAAGACAAACTATTTATCTGAAACTTTTGGAAGGCCAAAACTTGATATGTTATAGAATATTCCAAAGGAATTTAAGACATATTGACATTTTAACATTTGAACAATTTTCTAAAAGTTCTAGAACTGTTGAAAAGAAGTAAGTGATTTCGACATCAAATATTCTTTATTTATAAGGCATGCACAAGTAGATACTGATTTCATCATGTGATAGTGCAGAAACGCAAGTTAAATCTCATACTTCGTCAATCATATTTACTATATTCTGATTTTTCTTAATAAGTCAGAAAATAGGCATACGAAAACATTCACTAATAAGGAATTTCATTAGTCGGACTTCCGTTGTCTGATATATAAAATGATTTGAAATCCCTGATAGAACTAATGAAAAAGAAGAAAATTAAAAAAAGAGTAGGTGAACAATAACAATTATACTAGGCAAAAAACTAAAAAACCCTGAAATCAAATAACTGAAATAAAATACAAGTAAAAATAGAACAATTGAAGACGATTGTGGATACTGACAATCGAAACGTTTTCGAGTAACTTGGCTTGGAATCTCTTAATTTTTTTATTTTTTTTTCTATTTTCACTTGTATTTTATTTCACTGTTATTTTATCTCAGGGTTTTTTTGTTTTTTTTTTGCTTAATATAATTGTTTTTTTTCAGCTATTCTTTTTTAACTAATGAAATTCATCATGAAACATTGTCAGTCACCTTCAGACAAACATTCACTAATCAGTTCTGCACAGTTATTGAAACTGTATCTACAGTTTCATAGAAATCATTAGAAAACAAATTAAATGTATTGACCAAATATTTTAATAATTTATCCCAATTTCAGGTTGTGAAACACGCATTTAATACAATTTTGAGTGAAGATAATGTGACCAAAACAATTTCTTCACTGAACCATTCAATTCTCAAAATATTGACAGCTCATTCAGAGAAAGCTGATATTGATTATAAAGTTGTCAGTGATTTAGCTCGACAAGAAACCTCAGTTGTAATTTATGAAAATCTTATTCATGAATGGAGTCTTTATGAAAGTAGTTACCCTGACATCATAGAACCACTCTTGAGCAGTATAGCCGAATTTTTTTATGGGCTGAAAATGAAACTGTCATTATTGAAGAAATGTTTGGCTGAATACAAGTACATGAAATGTGGTATCAACATCAATGAAGACCTCCTCAACTTGGTCAAGTTACCGATTATAGACGAAAAACAAAGCGAATACACTTCTTACCTTGAGAAATTCACCAACAAAAGAATCAATAATTTCCTCGACTGTGTCCTTGAAGATGCCGATCAACCGTATATTAAGGATCAAGAAAATTACAGGTAGGTCTTTTAAAATTCAATTTGTTAGGATTCCTGTAAGTATTCACTAAATCCTTTCTGAATTCATTGAATAAAATAATCTGAAACTCCTTACAGGAAATGTTCATGCTCCATGAAACTCATAAAAATGCTGTTTCCCAAATTTGACATTATGTTGAATAAACTAATGCAAACTTGAGCTTGTATTGGACTAGTTAAGTGCGAGCAGTGACAGTTTTATTTATTTTCGGAAATGCCTATTTTTTACAAAATAATTAACAAGTTCACACATACGTATTTAACAGTAATCTAAGCTGGGTTTAAGGAAAACATATAAAATAAATTAAAAAAAATCGAAAAATAATGAATTGCAATCTTTTCAGTCTTTTTAAATGTTTCCAAATAAGGATTAAAAAATTCTAAATCTACATTGTATGTATTTGCAAGTCTCAAAATTCTACATACAGATTCATTCCGGCCATAGTTGGTGCGACAAAAGGTACTTTGAAGATTTCCGAATTTTTTTTCCTCCTTGGATTCACATTTAAAGTTATAAGTTCGACAAGTTCCGGGGTTTTATGAATTAGTGTAAGATCTGATTCTAATCTTCTATGAGCCAGAGTATGCAAGTTAAGAATGTCCAATATAATTTTATAGTCATATTTACCAATATGAAATTCCAGTTTATATGCAGAGTACCTTAAAAAATATTTTGGACGCTTTCAAGCATATCAATATCCACATGATATGAAGAAACATAATGGTCACAAAAATTTAGCAAAAATTAATTCAAAAATATTTTCAATTTTGTTCGGAAAATCTTCATTCTTTCTAAATAATTTTATAACTGTTTTTATATGAACTACATCAAATGTTCAAAAATAATTTTCTACTTGTGGTGCACTGTTTGGAAACTTTGGTGTAGTAATGAATATTACTGGAGTTTTTTCCCAACACCAAACCGTTATTTTAACACCTCGACACGTGTTTCGATTACCAAGTGATCATCTGCAAGAGGAAGATCAAACTGAACATACTTTCAATGTTATCTCTATTTATATATCTTCTAGGTACCTGCGTCTTAAGTGTCTTAAATTAATTTCACAATATTGCCTTATCTACTAGTATTAAATAAATTTTACAATGTGCCTAATAGTCAGGTAAATCTAATAAATAAAATATTATTTTAACAAGCTATTTAGTATACTATTAGATATTGATCCACTATCGTTATTCATAATATTTACTTATTTCTACACTCTTGTGTAGGTTAGGTTAGGTTAGGTTAGATCCAAAGTGAGGTCTATTTGAACTCCACCGCAACCCGCAAGGGTTTATTGTAGCTCACACCTAGTCACACTCGACCAAGTAAACTCAGCTTCTTAACGAAGCTGATTAGTTTATATGGTGGGTGGTCTTTCAGGTCAGATGGTGAGAGTACGGCTCTGCCAAACTCTAAAAACCTGATTCGGTCCCCAGCGGGGCAGACACAAAGTATGTGCTCTGCTGTTTCATCATTTTCTAAACAGAGGCGACACACACTGTCTTCCAAAAGTCCGAGTTTCTGCATATAATGATTCATATGACAGTGACTTGTAAGAATGCCTATTAGACATTGTAGTTCATCCCTACTGTAGTCCAACAACTGTTTGGTATCAAGCTTCTAAGGGTGAATAAATGCCTTGAAGTGAATCAATCTTGGAAGATTCTACCAGAAGTCCATAAATCTTCTTGCCATCCAGGTGTTCAATTTTTGTTTGGTGAAGCTTAAAGCGATGCCAATGATGGGTTCAGGTCAGATGAAGCTGCTTGCAGCACCCTCCTTTGCAAGGGAGTCAGCAGCCGCATTGCCTTCCAGACCAGTGTGGCCGGGAATCCACACCAGAAACAATCTGTCAAGTCTTCCTCTCGAGAAGAGTTGTTTTTGGCAACTTGCTACCAATTTAGACATTGCTCGGTAGGAGCCAAGAGCTTCCAACGCCGCTTGACTGTCCGAGAATATTTTTATTGACTTGTGTATGAGGTTGGATTCTACCAATCTCTCGACACACAATTCAATAGCGTAAATTTCCCCTTGAAATTTAGTCGCGTAGGCAGGTTGATATCTCTCTCCTGGATCTGCGACTGAAAACACCTGCACCAGAACCGGTTGGTGTTTTAGATCCATCTGTGAACCAATAACTATCTGCTTTTAACATATTTTCATCAATAAAATTCATGTATTAGTAAGAAAATAAAGGACAACTTCCATTTCTTGACGTTTTGGTAATGAGGAGCCAATATAGAGGGCTAGAATACAATGTATTTAGAAAGGAAACAAGCACGTACAGGTGTATTCCTGACAGTTCACATCACTGTGGGCAGCACAAATGTGCTGGACTGAATTTTTCAGTGCATCTTTTTACTTTTCCTCTCACACATGAGAGGTTCACAAAAGAAAAACATACAAAACAGGAAATAGCAGCCACTAACGGTTTCTCGAGGGGTATTTTAAATGATATAATAAGGAAGAAAAAGTATAGGTTAAGAATGAACGAAATCTCGACTATTAAAAACGACGAAAACCAAGATAAATATATCTAATTTCCATACCACCAATACACGAAGAACTTTGGAAAGATTTTCAAGGAACTAGGTATGGAAGTAGTTTTTAAAACAAGTCATACACTAGAGAGCCTCTTAGGAAATCCAAAAGGCAAAGTCGAGAATTCGTAAAAGTCTAGAATTTACGAAATTTAATGTAAGGACTGCGATGCAAAATATTATGGACAGACGAAAAGATCTATTAAAATAAGATATAAGGAACACGAAGCACACTTGAAATATGGAAGATCTGAAAAATCAGCAGTCGCCCATCATATTTTGCAACAAAATCATTGCAAAGACTTTAGTTCGTTAAGATTCATTGGACAAGTTAACAACAATAGGCATCTAGATGCCTATGAGAGTGTAGACATAAATAACGATGGAGGACCAATACCTAATTCTATACTATATAGCTTGTTAAAATAATATTTTGAATATTAGATTCACCTGAGTATTACACAAGGACACATTGCAAAAAGACTAGTAAATAAGGCAATATTGTGAAATCAATTTAAGACGTGTAAGACGCAGGTACCTAGAAGAGGTATTTATGTTATAAATTATGATAACATTTTAAGTATGTTTAGTTTGATCATCCTCTTGAAGATGATCACTTGGTGATCGAGACACGTGTCGAGGTGTTGAATAATAGTTTGGTGTCAAGAAAAAACTCCAGTAATATTCATTAAATAATTTTCTAACAAAATTAAAATACTTGAACTCATCAACTTCAATAATCCAAAACAGAACAACTCCATTGAAATTTGACTAGAACTAAATTTAAATCCATCATTGTCTCAAATAGTATCTAAATAGGATAATAAAATTTGAATTAGCCTGTTTACCTCCTGCAAGCCAATACTTCACATTCTCAGTAATCGTGGCAAGCTTTATCTGTCCCTTTATTCAGTCAAAATCTCTGTTTACCGTTCAGTTTTGTTCAAATGTCTTTTAAATGGTTTGACAAAGTCCTCTGGTTGTTCTGAGTCGATTCCCAATATGTTGATATGTTCTCAGTTTCTTTTGATTGAGATTTTGCCGTGTATATTTTCCAAGTACTACCCAAGTTTCTTGTTATTAATCCATGTATATCTAACACACTTACCAGTTTTTTCACTCCCAGACCAACCCAATTGTCAATTATGAGATTTTCGATGAAGCATAGCTGCTTTCAAAACTTTTGGTCTACTCTTTCAGCCAATGCCTCAAATTGTTATTTTTATACACTTCTGACTGGAAGGCAAATGTATAATTGACCAAGCAGTATCTATAATGTAAATTTCTACCAAACTAGTTAATTTCAGCTCCTGTCACATTGTCATTGTTCTTAATCCACTAGTTTTTGATTTCAACTGTAAAGTTTTGTCGAAATTGTAATTTTATGCCATGTGATCCATAAACTTATTTATTGTTTATTTCTGCACCTATTCTGAAAATTTCTGTTGTGACCGATCTCCTGTAGCCCAATGAGTTTTCTATTCTGAATTGGCCCACTTTTGTAATGGTGGAAAGTTAACCATTACCTCTGCCCACAGTGGGGTTAGTCTTGTTACATTTTACAGCCGCATATAAAATATAGCTAACTGTCAATGTTCGAAGATACTTTATTTCAATATAATAATTTATGGAGACTATAACTAATTTTATTTTCAGCAAAATATGGCAAGTGAACTTGACAATATATATCAACATAAAACCTTAGAAACATTAAATTGAAGAACATAAACATAATATGGCTCAACTAAATTCATTTCTGTTATTAATTTCGCAACACCCCTTCTCAACAATAATGAATTTTCTGTCTTCAGTTCAATCAATCTTCTTGATGTCGACAACTTTTCAGGACCAAGTACTTTTGTCAGAAAATCAGCCAACATCAAACTGGTCAGGCAATACTGAAAACTAATTTTGTTTTTCTGCTTTAGATCTTTGATAAAATTGTATTTCGTTTTCATATGTTTTGTCCTGTCACTCATTTTGCCGCTGTTAATCATTTTGAGGCATGATTGATTATCTTCGACAATAATTGTCTCTGAGATCTCGATTTGAAAATATTGAAGAAGTCCTGTCAAATATATGGCCTGTTGACAAGCTTCTGACCGGGGAATGAATTCTACCTTGGTAGCACTTTACCGTGTTAAAGTGCTAAGCAAGTTCACTTATTACATTGCCAATTGAACATCGCTCCCATGTACTTGAATAAATATCCACTATTTGACCCACTGTCAGTCTTGTGTCCAGCCCAGTCAGCGTCAGTAAAACCGTATAAAATATTACTTCCTTGGAAAGATTTCCCAACTGGCTTTCTATGTTCAGAGTTGCGTTAGGATATTTTATGATGCGTTTTACTTTTGTCCAGTCGTATTTGTGAGGTATACAAACAATTCTTTCAAGAATTGACATAGCAGTACATATATCTTGCCTTGTATTCACAGACAGATATAATAGTGCTCCTGTTATGCTTCTGTAAACATCTTCATTATGAAATTTTTCATCACTGGAAGATATATTTTTTGTAGTATCCTGTATCCAAAGGAATGCTAGCTGGTTTGGCAGATTTCATTTTGAGATTTTTCAATAATTTTGAAATGTATTTCTGTTAATGAGTATAATAAAGTCCATCACTATCTCTTTCCACTTGTATTCCAAGATAATTTTCAATGTGTCCCAAACTTGTCATTTTGAAAGTTTTCTGTACCACTTCGGCGGTTTTCTCGATAATGGTGATGCTTTCACAAACTATCAGAATATCATCCACATATATCAGCATGTATATGAAATTTTCTTTTTTTTTAGTATAGAGACAGTGATCATAATCACCCCCTCTGAAACCAATATCAGTAAGAAAGTTATTTATTGTTTAATTCCACACTCTGGCTGATTGTTTTGATCCATATATAGTTTTATTCAATTTGTAGACCAAATGTTCTTGTCCTTCTTTATATAGCCTTGGGGTTGTTTCAGATATATTTTTCATTCAAACCCGCGTTTAAGGAAAGCCGTTTTGAAATCATAATGATGAACGTGCACTTTCTTCCAGCAATGGTTAAGAGAAGACGGAATGATGTTTAATAACTATTTTCAGTTTGGTGTTAGGGCAATTGATCTCGAAAAAAGTTATTCAACTTTCACACCAAAGGTTCCAATCTCATCGTTTAGGAATGATGTTTGTTTGATGACTGTAACAAAAACTTCATCATAATCAAGCCATATTTTTGAGAAAAACCCTGAGCAACAGTCCTTGCTTTATATCTGGATATATTGCCTTGATTATCGGTTTTAAATATAGAAATCCATTTGCTTCCATTTGCCGTTTTTTCTGATGATAATTCAGTCAATGTGCAAATATTGTTATCTTTCATGGAACATATTTCCTCGTCCATAGCCTCGATCCATTTGTTCGCATCTCTCCTCTGTAAAGCTTCATTTCTACCCTTAGGCTCGGTTTGAATGTTTTTCATTGAAAATTCTTCAGAATATTTTTTGGCTAGAACACCTTTATTTATTCTTTGTGACCTTCCCAAATTGTGAACTTCATTTTTGATTTCTGCATTACTTTCTTTTAAAATTATACTTTACTCAACTGGATATCAGTCTCTTCATCAGTCATTTCTACAGAGTATTCAATATTTTGTGCTGGAATACATGAATATTTCAACTTCACTGTTGTCATTTTGACATTCATAATCACATCTTTGTTTAGTGTTATACACTATGTGTATAGTACACATAGGACCACACTCATCAGTATGAACTAAGTTCAGTACAATAGTAGATTTTGTCAGAAGTTTCTTTGGAAATTGTTTCCTCGACAGTTTACCTTAATTCAAATTTCACATGTCAGTAAACGTCCACTATTTTCAATTTATTTTCAATTCACCATATTTTCATTTGTAATTTCTCGTATAATGGTGGAATCACGGTGGCCAAACCTTTTGTGCCATAAATGAATGCAGCCGTCACTACAGCCTTTCCATACAGTTATCGCTGAATTATACTGATTGGGTTTGTATAAATATCAAACCAGCGTTGCTTGAGCAACAACTTTATTATTTGATGTGATGAAACAATGATGTTTCTCAAATTCTACTTTGAGTCCGAGAAGTGTTAATTTGTTGATCAAAAGTAAATTTGTACAGAGCTCGGGTAAATAAAGGGTGTCCTTCACTGTGATTTCTGTTTTCCTATTGTCATCAAGAATACAAGTTAACTGACCACTTCCTACACCATAAGCACGAACTTTTCTATGGTCAGTTAGTTCAACTTCACTTAGCGAATCTTTGAAATGCTCGAAAAGTCCTCGTTGTTTGTCATATGACTACTTGCTCCAGAGTCTATATACCATTCGTGAGCTTGAGCTTTATCACCTACTTTAAAGCACACATGGGTGTTTCCGTTAGTTTCTTCATTGTAGAAACTACATTTGCTATATTTCAATTTCTTTTTCATTTCTAAAATGAAAATAATCTTTCTTCATATGTCCCATTTTCTTACAGAAATGACATATCATACTTTTGGAGTTGCAGTGCTCGAATTCCTTTTTAACAGACCCTTTCTTGTAAACTTTTAGAGCCATTTCACTTGATGTGGAATTTTGCTTTCGTCTATGATACTCCTGCATCAATTTTCCTTTTACCATTTCTAGAGTTAGATCACACTCTGGCCTTGCTTCTAATGCTGTTACCATTTCTCATAGCTTTCTGGAAGACTGCATAAAAGTATTGCTACTTCTAGATTATCTGCTAGATTTTCTCCCAATGTGACTAACTGATCGACAATGCTCATCATATTAGCCATGTCACCATTTTCGGGTAATGTTATTTTACATAAACGCTTCAGCGAAAAACTTTGTTGGTGTGAGTTGGATTTTCATATCGTTTCTTCAAACATTCCCAAGCTTTTTTGGATGTTTCACAATTCTTCACATGAATTACTTGAGAATCTTTGATAAGAAACCAATCGTAGCTCTCCCTTTTCCATCATCTGCCTCCCAATCATTGTTTCTTGGTTCAGGTGGGTTTTCAGTAACTGTGCTAAGTAGTTCTTCCTTCAGTAGAAACATTTCAATCTTGTATTTCCATATTTGATAATTACTACTGTTCAACCTGACAATGTTGACAATGTCGCATACATATCTGGGCCCATAACCTGTTCAAAGATACTTTATTTTAATATAATAATTTATGGAGACTTTTATAACTATTTTTATTTTCAGCAAAACATAACGATTGAATTTGACACTATATCAACATAAAACCATAGAATCATTAAATTGAAAAATATAAATGTATACAATTAATTCGTCGCTTTTTTGTTAAACAAAATTCCAAAGATTTCGGTACTCATAAAGATGCTTTATTCTCAAGAAACATAACATGTTTATGATAGAGAATTATACATGTTAACGTCAACTGGAATTTTAAAAACTATCTGGATTATAATGCTTCCAAGTGACCTCTTACAACCATATGATATTTCGAGGTATGCATTCAGTGAATATACATGGGTTCTACTTCGAAATATATCAATTTGGACTGAAATTTTAGACTTCAAACGGACAATTGACTAATATCTAGTCTGCCAATTTGACTTCATGAACATTTTTGTTGATGTCGCTCGTTCCAGTTTTTGGTTAACAGAAACTATACAATAATAAGTAAGCTGAATTTTATTTCAAATTCAATGTAACCTTTTTTGAAATGTTCATTTGATGAGTCCTGTGATATTCCCAGAATACTTTACTATTAGTTTGTAAACTATTGTTGGCAATACCGGAAGTAATAAAGTTACTTCAGGTGTTTCTGTTACATATATTTAACGTTTTCATTTTTTAGACTTCTCAAATGTGGTATTCAAGAAACTTTCAACTACTGTTTAATAGAAGCAAAGAGTGCAGACGGACTGAATAAAAACCCATTCCTGCAATTCAGTAATATAATCAACACATTTGTCAATGCCTATAACAAACAACAGCAAAAGAAAGAACTAGAGAAGAAGGAAGCAGAAAGCCTTTATAAACTAAAGTAAGTTATTTTTGTTTGAGGTAACTTTCAGTTATTATATTATTATTTCAGAACAAAACTTGAGGATCGAACAGAAGAAGAACAAATTGAGGAAGACCTGAAAGATCTCTTCCCAAATTACCACAGCATAGACTTTACAGATTTCCAGGAGAACCCAAATCTGAGTGAACCTCCTGAGGAGTTACGATCAGATATGAAATTTGACGAAATCATTTCTTATAAAGATTTAGCTGAAGTCGTAAAGTTACATATTACGTTAATGAGGAACTTTACCCGAAATGAGTGGTTAAATCCTTCTAAAAATAAACAAGTCACTCATGACTTTTTGGTTCCTTTCATGGAAAAATTCAAATCATTTACCCAAATTCTAGATCGATCAGTACACAGTTTAGATTACACTATGGACGATAGACTAATTGGAAGTTTGAATGTGCTTTTAGCTATAACTAAACAGTATGGTGATACACATGAATTATGTAAGTACTTTCAGAAGTTATGTCTGGAAAATGATGATTAATATTAATAATTTTCAGCTGATCAAACTTCATCTCCCTCTAGAATGGTCAATAAGAAAACCAGTGATTTTTATAAAGATCCAAATGTGGAAGAAGTCAAATCTTGTTATCACATACTGGAAGAATTGAGGATGAGAGTAAATGAACTTTTGAATGAGTGGCCTGAACAACCAACTCTAAAAACGGTAGTTGTTTTTACCTTCTCTTGAAAGTTTTCCCGTGTTTGTTTCATCAAGTATGTTATAGTTTTAATAATTATTTTCATTTCAGATAATCCTTGTTATAGAAAGAATATCCAACTTTGATATAAAAAGTCCAATATCCAGATTTCTTACTGGTTTTGAAATATTACTCACTAAGTGTCATGAATGGGAACAGGTTGCTCATTCAGGTGTTAGTTTAAGCCAACACTATCATGGTTTAACTGCTCAAATCATATCATGGAGGAAACTAGAACTAACCATGTGGAAGGATCTTCTGAATAGAACTTATGATAGGTAAATTTGATAGGATCGTGTTAACAATGGAATAAAAATCAAATACTTGAGAATTATATCCCTAATGTCTAATATATTATTGAGTAGGATCATCTGTCTAATATATTATTCAATAGGATAAACTTAGATTTTTGAATAGATTCAAAATTTGGTATGGAAGTTATGAATTATGTTCGTTAACCAAGGAATGAATTCATTATCTGGAAAAGAAAAATCATAAACAAATTAGATAAGTATGTGAATTATTATTTTTAGGTTAGAATTAGTTTCACAATTTGAGAATTTTATATGCAGCTCTTAAGTGGGACATCTTGATTTCAACTAATTGTTCTGAGGATGTTGTGTAGATTTTTTCCATAGGTAGCAAAACATTTAATTAAGCTTCTCTAATGTTATTATTTTTTCAAAACTCTCTCTACTCTGCTTACAGCTGAAGGGCCCATCTGGGTATCTAATATTCAACTGTTCAACTACTTCTTATTGTGTTTGTACTATCTACTATATCAATTATTATTGGGTTTTTTTATTCAAACATTATTTAATAAATTCAATAATTTGCCTAGTCATAAAAAGCTGTTATTCGTTAAATTCGGTGAAAAAAATTTATTGAATATATTTCAAGTGATAGTGATCAATAATTTATGTTGTTTTCTAGTTTCTTGTTTTTACAATGTGACTTGTCTCTATTTTTACATTACACGCTTCATATTGGCTTCACCTGTATGTATGTATGATTGTTTGTATGCATGTTTGCTTGTAACTCTCAAGCTCGGGATCTGTATTGACAGAATTATCGGCATTTGTGCTTGCTCTATTCGCGGGCAGATGGCGCTGTATGTAACCTCCTTGATAAGTTCAAAAGAAAATCAAAATAATAAATATAGTTTGAAAAAACTGAAAAACACGCTTTTATAGCATATGAAACTTAAAAGTAAAAAATCAATATAGTTTGAAAAAAACTAAAAAACACGCTTTTAAGGGACATCGAACTAAAAAGTTGAAAATAATTTCTTTTAAATAAACTTGAAACAAGTTCGAAAAATACTAGTATTATTGTGACAAAAGCGTGGGCGCTTTGTGCCATATTTTCGGTATATCTAGCGCCCAGGTTTTTTCACAATAATACTAGTATTTTTTGATCGTTATTGTTTTAAGCTTATTCAAAAAAAAAATTAACTTTTTAGTTCGATGTTCTTTAAAATCGTGTTTTTTAGTTTTTTCAAACTATATTTATTTGTTTTGTATTTTATAAGTGACTGATTGTACTATGAAGAGTATTATTTGCTAATAAAGAGATATAACTTTACAACTTTACAACTATAATCGGATGTTCGAACAAATCCGACACCACCAGAGCCAATCAGTAGGGCCCTGCTCACTACTCTTTCTGTAATATCAATAACGAAGTAACAACAAATTGCTGCCAACCACTGCTGAAGATGCCCAGCGTACTCATGGATGAAACTGTTGGGGTTAATTTCTCTTGGAACACAGCTACCCAGCCCGGATAGAAAAAGTTCAAATTTCATTTCTGACCATGAAAGTTTCAGTTTACAACCATAACATATGTGAATATTACTGGACTTTTATCCCAACACCAAATCGTTATTTACAACACCTCGACACGTGTTTCGATCACCAAATGATCATCTTCAAGGGGAAGATCAAAGTGAGTTTCAAGAGGATGATTAAACTGAGTTTAATCTGTACTACACCAAAGGTTCCAAACAGTGAATCACAAGGTCGTAACATATGTCGTCACATAGATTGACATGTGCCAGATAATGAATTTGTTCCTTACTTCAAGTGTCCTCTGTTTAATATATATTATTTTGAGGTAGACATATTGAGAAGTATTCAAAGAATAACACTACTGAGATTAATAAAATATAATTTTTTATTTCAGTTTGAATGAACCTCTACCGAAGTGGTGGCTATATTTATTCAACATAATGAAACAATTCGTACTAGAAAAAGATTTCACAGAACGAGAACTCATCGAAACTCTGCAAACTTTCATCACCAAATCGAATCTTGCAGAATTCCACGGCAGACTTGATCTAATTTTCACTTTCCATTGTCACGCCACTTATTTGGATAAAACAAAAAAGTCGGAGCAATTCATAAGCATTCTTTGGAATATATATATTTATTTCCAACAGTTTACTCTCGCAGTTTCAAATAAAATCAAAGACTTGAGATCTCCTATAGAAAAAAAATTGAAGGATTATGTGAAAATTGTTCGCTGGAAAGATATTAATTACTGGGCAATCAAAGAAACTGTAGATAAATCACATAAAACTCTGCATAAATATATGAGAGAATTCAAAGAGGTATTACAGCAACCTGTATTGTCATGTCTAAGCAATACAAATTCCAATAACGACGGGGAAAATGTTGGAATATGGGACAGGCCTCAAAGACACAGTCCTAAGAATTATCATTATACATTAGATCCAGAGGCTTATATGGCCAAACTTTCGTTAGTGAAGGTGTGTATCAAATTAAAATAAAAAATAAATGAATGAATAATAAGTAAAAGTTGAATCTATTATTTTATTGAAATTTGTTTTCAGAAATTTTCATCGAGTGAAGTTCCAACAGATGAGACGATATTGAGCAAAGCTGAATCATATTTCTTGAAATCTAGAAAACTGTGTAAACAAACTATTTTAGCTACACAATATCCAAGTTTAGTGCGTAGCCTTGATGGATTTGTGACAGAAATCATTGAAACTAGTTCCCATTTACAGAAACTTGAAGTAAGTTGTTGCTTTCATTTTGTTGTGAAAATTATATAAATTTCCTACATTTTCATATTTTTCAGGTTGATACTAGCCTATCAAAAGAAAAACAAAAATCTCAAGCTAGGAGTATTTTGCAACAAAAACACAGGGCTTTAGCGGATCTGTTTAAAGCACTTGCAAAAATAGGACTATCTTTCAGGAGTGGAATAATAGAAAGTAAAATAAAAAATCCTACTTCTGATTTCTTGTTGAAACCTTTGGATTTGAATGCCAACTTCAGTCACATAAATTACGGGTAGGCATAATGGATACTTATTCATTCAATATATTGTTCTGTGTAACTATAAACTCTGTCTAAAGAATAATATCGCACTCCGGCAAGAATAATGTGTTACAACTCAAAACACTAATTCTTTAAAACAAAGAAATTGAAGTTTTTTAATATTGTGAAACCAAAGTCTAAATAGGCCCAAAAAGGAGACGAACTTCCTACAATCTTTAACTGTCGGTAGACAACCACAAATTCATTTTGTTCAATGGCTAGTACAGGGTGTTCCTGAATAGCCATGCTCATTTTGTTGTAACGCTAAACTAGCCGTTACAAATTGGGCACTCTTACCTTCTTGGCATCTAGTGGGCAGGACCATATCAAAATTCTCAAAGGAATTAGTACATTTCACAAGATGTACCTTTGTTATTGAGCAATTGATTTACCTTCCTATATTATATATTTCAAATATTTTTGTATTTCTCAAAGACTAACAATAATTCAAATTTCTGCTTTATAATTGGGACACTATTCTTGCTGGGATATTATATGTCAATTCTAAAATTGATTTTTTTGTTGATTTGTATTTTAGGTCGAAGGAAGAAAAAATTCTGACAATATGGGATTCATGTGAAATCTACTATGTGAGGTCAATGATGAGGGGAGACGTTTTAGAAGCAGCAATGAATAATCCCGCAAAAGATCTTGGTTTGCCAAATATAGAAAGATGTAAAGGTTTTACTATGAACCTGATGGTAAGAAAGTCAATTCCAATATTGAACACTTTTATTGACTAGAAGGTTTTCAGATGTTTACTCAGAAGCAGAAGCACGACTTGGTAGAATCCAGCCGCTTATATTATTATTTACGATATTATGCAAAACAAATGAACGACTTGTGTGAATCAAAACAGTTTTTGTGTGTATCAATTGTTAACAACCTATTAGATCTGTTGAAGAAGTTGACAATTATTATGAACCAATACAAAATTATTCTGAATACTTGCCCAGCAGAACAAAACTTCAGCAGCGAAACTAGTGAGATTCCTATTCTGATATCTGATATGGAAGAATTCATAAAGCACAAATATGATACATTGTGGACTAAGGCTTCGAATCTGATAAACACTATTTTGAATTCATCAAATAAACTCAATACATATCTCCTCAAGTGTAAAGGGTGTGTTCCGGCAGTAGATTTTGAATTATTGTTGCCCAAATACATCTCGGTATCAGATATTAATCTGGTAGAAAATGAGCTGACTGGCCTATCTAAAGATATGAATAACCTCAAACGCATTTTTGGCAATAGTGCAGTTACTTGTAGTATCTCTTGGCTAAATACTGAAATTGATCTGATCAAACAACAGCTCTTTGAAGAAAACCCTGTAGAAAACGTTGATATAGACCAATTCAAGAAGTATGTTGAGAATTTCATAGAACAAATTTTAGTTGTGATGCAGAATATTTACAAAAAATATGAGGAAAGTAGCTCAACCGATGAGATAGCATTGGTAGATGAAGCAAAAGAAGATCAGTTGAAGGAAGAACAACTGAAGAAGTTGTTAGTAGAAAATTTATCTTCTGACATTGCTACATTGGAAATGAAAAATATTCTAAGAAAAACACATAAAATAGCAAGAATTCTGTTGACTACATCCCCTAAATGTGTTGATACTCTCAAAACCATCGTGTCGCAATCATTACCACTATTGGAGCAACTAGTTCATCTTTACCAGTACTTCATCACGCAACAAGTTTCTGTCTATCGGGTGACTTGTAAAATGAACTGTGTTTTGTTGAACATTTTTATTGATTTGGCATCAAAAGTAAGTATTCCTTCTTCAGAAAAAGTTAAAAAAAATTAAGAAAACTTCACTTCCACTATTTTTCAAGTTTATGAGACCTAATTTAATACTCAAATAAAAATTATCATTTATAATGTATACATTCTCTCAGCTGAATCAGATAGCCCATCACAATTTGATAATTGTGCTTGCATTGACATAAAAATTTAACTTCTTAATACACAGACCTGTTATTTGATGAAAATTAATAACACTACTGAGTGGAATTGATTGTCTGCCAAAGAAAGCTAAAAAAATCAAATTGCAAAAACAGTGAAACATCTAAATTTTAGACATTTACTGGAAACTCAACATTAGATATCATTGAATTAACTTTGGATAAAATTTCAAGAAATGTATTATTAGTTTGAAAACACAAAATATCTCCTATAATTGAAATTATTTTTATAAATATAAATTGTCTTTTATATTTTCAGTTTTTGATCATTTTGAAGCTATAAGAGTGTTTTTCTTTTTAAGGGATTCTGCATTCCTCCAGAGTTTTCAGATGAGATTGAAGGTGAGGGAGTCGGTAAGCCTTCAGACGGCCTTGGTTTGGGAGATGGTGAAGGAAAGAAAGACGTTTCAGACAGGATTGAATCAGAAGATCAACTCGATGATGCTCAACCGGCCGGCCAAGAAAAGGAAAAAGATGAGGAAAAAGACTGCAAAGAAGAGGATAAGGGTATTGAAATGAGTGAAGACTTTGAAAGCAAACTACAGGTATGAAAATAAAGAAGAAGAAATTGATCATGTTTATTCCAATGGAAGTAATCACTTATTTAATGTATGCCAATTTTTAACATTTTTCAGAGAATATAATTTTTTTAATTTTCGAGAATGTGAAAATTTTTTTTACAATTACACCCTCTATGAGTCAGAGCAATTATTGTGAATTTTTATTAGAAGCATTCACTTATTACCTGGTTGTCTTCCAACATTACAAAAATTCATTGTGTTTCGGATTCAACACCATTTAATATTTCTTTATATGAAAGGAAACAAATATATTCGACATGTTCTGACCTTTTTCAATAATCAATATGAACTTTGTTGATTTATTAATACAATATGAATCTTTCGATAACTTTAGGATAAAGAAAAGAAGGAAGATGATAGTGAAAACAGCTCTGGAGATTCAGATGCAGATGATCAGATGGGAGATACTGAAAAGGGGGCAAATCAATTAGATCAGGAAATATGGGGTTCTGACCAAGAGGATGTTAACGAAGATCAAGAAGAAGGTACTGAACAGTTCTTTTATTATTCTCTGATAATTACAAATTTATTACATAATCATAATAACGAAGATCAAGAAGAATGTACTGAACAGTTCTTTTATAATTATAAAATTATCACATATTTATAATAACAAAACATAACAAAAATTTCGATTTTTCATTTGTCAAGAAATTGAACTGCAATTCATACCCTAACTGTAATCATTTAAGGTGGTTCAGAGCAAAAAGATGAAAAAGGTGAACACGGAGAAAAAGAAGGAGAAGATCAACTTGGTGCGAAAGATGATACCACTAATCGAGATAAAGAGATGAGAGAAAATTCAGCGTATTCTGAGGAGAAAGAAAAAAACAAGAAGGATATCAATGAACTAGATGAGTCTGAAATTGATGATGACCAATTGGACAGTCATCATGGAAAACAACCTGAATTGCCCGAGCCAGAACCTATGGACCTACCAGATGATTTGCAGCTAGACGATGGTGAAGAAAAGGATAATGACACACAAGAAGAAAATCCTTTCGATATAGACAAGATGAAAGAAGACAATCTACTTGAAGATAAGCACGAGAAAGAAGATGGTGATGATTATAATAAAGAGCCTAAAAATGATGATGAAAAAGATTTTAGCAGTGACGATGAAGATGTTAATAAGGAACAACCAGATATTTCAGAGCTAGACGAAGGGAGCAGTGAGGAAAAAGAGGACAAAACTAAAGAAAATATTGACAAAAATGAAGATACAGATGAGCAAGACTCTGAGGAACAAAATAATGAGGAAACTGCTATGGATCATACACAAAGTCGTCAAGAAAATGTTGAAGCCATGGTAGTAGATGATGCTGAAGCCACAGATAATGTATGTTTCAAAAGTCTAATATTGGAAATATATTAATATTTGTTTTATTTTAGACTCGATCCAATCAGTCGGAAAATCAGCAATCTAACCAACCAATTGAGGAACTTTGTCAAGAAGATAGACCAGATCAAGAAGGTGTTGGGCAATCACAGATGGAGGAAAGTACCTCGGGTCACACTGCCCAAACTACAGCTCTTCCAGAAACAAAGAGTACTAGACAAGAACCAGAGGAAAAAGAATATAGAAAACAAAAACCAGGTGAATCTAATTCGAAAAGAAGTTTGGGTGACACCGAAGAACGACTTAGGAAAAAACTCAAAACTGTGGATATCAAAAAAGATGTAGAAGATATCACAGAAAATGAAGAAAACAGGCAAGAAGAATCTTCTGAAATATTCCAACACATTAAAGATGCAAATGAAGCTGAAACTCAGGTACTTAGTTGAATGGTATTAAAAAAGTTTTGATCATGTTCTGACTTAGGTCTCCAATTATTTATCTTTTTCCAAAATAACCTAAAAAACGAAAAAAATATAAAGTGATATGAAAAAAAGACATATCCTCACACAAAAAAAGAATTTTAGATTGAGCGCAAAGTGGCCCCTGTTTCCTGTTAACTAATAATTATTTATTTTAACACATTCTCAACACAACAGAATACTGAAATCATGTTCAGGGAATTTTTATTTTCCTTTAGCATACCTCACTTATTTCGGAGCCTCTTTGTTTTTATTTCTACAATCTTGAATCTGTATCACAAATTCATTTTTGCTTTAACAAATACACCGAACCGCAACATTCTTGCGGTGTTGATACAGATGTTTCATGATGAATTTCATTAATACGGACTTCCATTGTTTGATATTATATAAAACGATTTGAAATTCCTGAAAGAACTAATAAGAAAGAAGAATTGAAAATCAATATCTGAAAATAACAATTATATTAAGCAAAGATAATTAAAATGAAATGATAATGAATTGAAATACAATTAAAAATAGAACAATTGAACAAAAAAGTTAATAGATTCCAAGCCAAGTTACTCCACGATGTTTCGATTGTTAGTATCTACAATCGTCTTCAGGTGATGACTGGACTGATTCCTCCGAGAGATGACTATTTACGGGTCATTCGAGTACTTTCACTTATCTCCGCTTTCCTTTTCCCGTTTCATCGGTTTAGTGGGAGATGACCGTTTGGCAGGAGTTGGCCATTTTTCGCTTGATTATGGGTTTCCATATGTTGCGTATCTCTACGCTAGCTTGGCTGAATACATTGTTGGATGTTATGTTGATGGGTCCAAACATTCTCTGCTATTCCTGATTTGCTGTGTGTGTTTCTTGTGCTCGGCAATGCGAACATTTAATGGCCTCTTAGTTTCACCGATATAGAAAAAAAATCCTATATCGAAAAATGGCCAAGTCCCCCCAAATGTTCATCTCCCACTAAACCGGTAAAGCGGAAAAAGAAAAGCGGAGATAAAAGTGAAAGTACTCAAATGATCCATAAATAGTCATCTCTTGGAGGAATTAGCCCAGTCATCACCCAAAGACGATTGTGGATACTAACAATCGAAACGTCGTGAAGTAACTTGGCTTGAAATCTCTAACTTTTTATTTTTTGTTCAATTGTTCTATTTTTACTTGAATTTTAATTCACTATCTTTTCATTTCAGGTTTCTTTGCTTAATATAATTTTTATTTTCAGCGAGTGATTTTTAATTATTTTTTTTATTAGTTCTTTCAGGGATTTCAAATCATTTTATATATCAGACAATAAAAGTCCGAACTAATGAAATTCATAAAAGATTATCTGTAACTGTTTTTGATAGTTTACTGACGGCACCAAATTGATAAAAAATTGTTCAACTTTTGTGGTCTGTGTTAGATTCATCAATAGTTACATGGTGTATTTTTGAAATGTATTGTTAGAGCAATTGAATTGAAGGATTTTTCGAAACTGAGCTTAAGTTTTTCAATTTTTTTGAATACTTGAATGCAAGTGAATGCGTTTGATATAATCATCCAATTTGTACACATACCCGTACTGTACATTTTTACTTTTTTTTTGAGTTTCATAACATATAGGAATGAGAGGTGCATAGATGCAGCTTTGGCAATATGAAATAGTTTGCAAAATATCACATTGAATAAAATTCAGTATATCCCAGATGTATATTAGGAAATTCAACAATGAATGGTCGCGATCTCTTGTGATTTTTCAAGGCATTCGTCTTACTCCAGATTTGCTGGTAAAAATAATCACTCAGTTAAATCACTCATAATAAAAAATCAGTCGAAAATATTGAATGTTGCGATGTATATTGTTTGTACCATTTGACTGGCGTATTCTATTACTAGCATAGCTTCCTCGAAGATGTTTAGTACTCTATTAAACGCTCTTGAAGAGGCTATTGTACAGTGTACCTTTTATTGTTTTGTGAAAATCTCACGATAAAGTATCATTAATTGATGAAAAATAATTTGTATAGTTATGTTTCATTTCATATATTTTGACGACATGAAATACTTTTTTAATAATTACACTGGACAACAAAATTTTAACTGTTTTTGTCACATAAAAACTTATATCAAACTTTCAATCGACTCTAGTCACTAACCAATATTGTATCAATGAAAAAAATTGACACAACAGGTTTTTGTCTTGACATCAGAGCATAATATTATGGTGGTAATTACAAAAATCAACTATACTCTGAGAAATTATTACTCACTGTACAATAAATATTTATGTTTTTCGCGAAACTTGTCTTCTAGTAGGTCCCTCCTGACTTTCCAACAATAATCTGCTAGAATTCCTGGGCTCCATTTCCATTAATAAAGCTTCTCTATTAAGTAAATGTCCTGATGGAATCTCTTCCCTTGTTCGTCATTCACAGCATCCAAATCTAGATGAGAGGCAAACATACGTATTTTTCAGGACACATTACACCCCAAAGCTTTATCTGACATTATTAGTTCCTCTACTAAGTCTTTGTGTTTTCCGCTTTATGATTTCCACTCACAAAACATTTCCAGGTGATTTTTTCTTTGTCATTTAGTTCTCTTTCAGAGCTCTTATCCTTCATAAGTTGTCGTATTTGTTAGCCTACAAATATTCTCCCTTCAATTTTCGCGTCGCTGAGTTTGTGGAATTTCTCTTTCAGATATAAAAATCCACTGACATCTTTGCGAATAGCTTTTACACATTTTTTCATCAGACCGAGTGCAACGGTGGTAAAAGTATGTCATCAGGGTTCACTAAAGGTTCATTTTTAAGATTTTTACGGCCTGGACTAAGTGAATCATGTATGAGCCACATTTTATCTTATTAGTGACTTCTGTCTCTGCTGTCCCATTCGCAAATAAAACAGCAAAATTTTGTGTAATCAACATATAGTCCAAGCAAATAATAAATAATTTTCAAATCGCCACAAATTTTCCAAGTGTGTTCACTGTATTTAATTTTTTCAAGAAGAAATCTCATATTTCGTAAGTCTCTTTCATATCAGAACCATGAGCAACCGGCACTGAAGTGAGTTCGTTTTGATTATGCAGCAACACTGCTTTCGAACTAGTTTTTGAGGAGTCAATGAACAGTCGCCAGTGACTTGGATCACATTCAAAATTCAATAAATTCATCACAACATAAATATTATTATAATGGACTTTAGAAAAGTAAGGTTTTATTTCATTGTCACAATGTCGAAAATAAGAAACTTTTGTATCAGGAGAAAGTAAATTCCAGTCCTTTAATCTAGACCCCAAAAGCTCAGCCTATTTATTTAGACAAATTCAAATCACGTACTAAATCGTTTAAATCACTTTGTGTCAATAAGTGCGGTTCTTTTGAAGTTTGCGGTTCATAACTTGGGTCACTATCTTCATATTCCTCATGCGAACAAGTTCTGCCGGACTAGAATTCCGACTTTCTGGTCGATTTGTAGGCTTCGGCACAAGCAGTTCGACACTATGTAGGATGAGTCTGTTGGCCGGAGTTTGGATATTGGATAGTATGTTTGGACTTCGCTGTAATGCCTTTTATTTTTGTTTGACTCAAATGAAAGCCCAACCTAATAGGAGTCTCACACACGTTACACAAAATTTATCTGAGACCCAGAATTTATCTTGATGCTTCACAGTAAATCCAAAATATTTTTAAAAGCACTGTTCAATTGATGGGGTGAAATTTTGACGCTGGAATGTAAAAGCTGATTCTTCACACACAACAAAACAGTCAGGGTTAGTAGAACACTTTCGTTGCATATTTGCGATGTACCTAACGAAAATAAAATGTATGTTAGTTGATGCAATAGCTATACAGCCGTCTAAATGACGTATATTATCTCAGAAATGAATATACAGCTGTCACAAAAAACTGGATGTGATTGAAACAAAATTATTATATATTTATAATCGGGGTAAGCCAACATAAACAAAACACATCACAAAGTTCATTTGACAAAAACACTGTTGACCTGTGTTATTGAAGAAAAGACAAAGTAAGGAACATATTTTTATTGGACTTTGATTAAATTACTTCTGAGATATGAAAATCAGAAAAAAATATAGAATTAAATAGATTCATTCATTTCTTATATTTGAAGTTTTAAGAAATCGTCAAACAATGCAATTACTTTAGCAACTTTCATTAAATTTGATATAGAAATGGTACGATGACGCTATTTTTCAAATTTGATTGATATGCTTATAGCAAATGAAAGTGGTATAATAATGCTAACCTGAAAATGAAAACTAAAAATAGGTTATATTCACTTACAGATACTGGACGTAGCCACCAAAGAACAAGCAGAAAGTCAGAAAGAAGCCCAAAGTAAGGAAGAAAAAGAAGAACAAACGAAATCTGTCAAAGAATTGCCGAGTGAAGAGGAAGAAGATTCTTTAGAAGTCGAAGATGTACCGATAGATAAACCCGAAAAGATGAAAAAAACCAAAGAAAGCAAATCTAACAAGAAACATCATCCTGAAGGTAAAAACTCTCAATTGAAAATTGGAGATATTCAATTATAACTCTTATTTTATTACAGGTGATATTTTGGAAGATATAGAAGATATAGATATAGAAGGTGAAGTTGTTGAAACGCTCACAGTTCCCCGTAGTTCAGAATCATTCCATCATACACGGTTCCAAATCCCAGAAACCACTTTCACTAGACTATCAATAGAGGAAATAGATAATCTAAGATTAGATGTTGAAAAGCAACTACTTGCATGGAACGAGCCTCCGAGCACAGCTGAAGCAGAACAAGCTTGGCACAAAATATCCTCCATTACATCATCTCTGGCTCAGGATCTTTCTGAACAGTTAAGATTAGTTCTGGAACCTACTCAAGCAAGTAGGCTGAAGGGCGATTTCAGAACAGGTAGACGAATCAACATGAGAAAGGTCATTCCTTATATCGCCTCACAATTTCGTAAAGACAAAATCTGGCTGAGGCGAACTAAACCTTCCAAAAGAGAATATCAGATTGTTATGGCTATAGATGACTCATCCAGTATGGCAGATAATCACTCTAAAGAGCTGGCTTTTGAGAGTGTTGCCTTGATTTCAAAGGCATTAACACTTTTAGAAAGTGGACAATTATCGGTTTTGAGCTTCGGAGAGAAAACTGAAGTTGTCCATAAATTAACAGATCAATTTACTGACAAAAGTGGTATCAAGTTATTGCAAAAATTTCAATTTATTCAAAATAAAACTTGCATTGCTGATCTAGTGGATTTTGCTACAGAAATGTTCAATCAATCACAAATCCATTCTACTGCTATGAATGCTAAACTATTGGTCATTGTCAGTGATGGGAGAGGCGTTTTTTCACAAGGAGAATTTTACGTAAAACAAGCCGTGCGTCGAGCAAAGCTTTCCAATATTTTCATGGTGTTTGTGATAATTGATAATCCTGAGAACAAGAACTCTGTGCTAGATATAAAAATGCCAGTTTTTAAAGATGGGAAGTTGCTTAGAATTCAGAGTTATATGGATGTGTTCCCATTTTCATTTTATATTATTTTAAGAGACATAAATTCATTGCCTAATGTCTTAAGTGACGCATTGAGGCAATGGTTTGAAGTTGTTTCAAATTTATATTAGTTATTTAATGTATTTTACTTTTATCAAGTTGTTTTTAATATAACATTTTAAATAAACGTTGAAAATTTATAATTTTGATATAAATTAAACAAGTTTGAGAGGAAGAGGAAAGAGATTTGATGAATATTCCGAAATGTAATGGTCAGAAGTATATAATTTTTGAATGATGCTTCATTTGGACAACTTGAACATTGAAGTTTCAATGTGTTTTATAAAATATATGTTGTACTACTAAATAAAAGAATAGATATTCATTCAATTGGGCATTTCCCTCAATAAAGATGTATCTGTGATGATTTCAACAATTTGCCTTATGTCATATTCGAGTCGATAGTTTCAAAGAATGTAAGCTTTGACGCCCAGAAATAATTGTGTCAGGAGTTATTTTCTAGGTTTGTTGACCTTGGTCTGCAGATTTTTTATTCCTGACGGTTTGTTTAAAACTATGCTAGACATTATCAAAAATAATGTGCCAACAGATGATGGACTCTAGTTGTCTTCACAGCACATACTACATTGTGCAAGGTTTGGGTCTTCAGTTTTATCACTTCACTGGTGAGCCCATGCTCAACAGAAACAACACGAAGAATACTATCACTTTCAGATATATCTCTAAAGTCATCTCCATTCCTACTGGTTTGGCTAATCAGACAAATTTAAGTATTATATGTTGGTGATCAGACTTTGTTTTGTTGAAACCCGCTTTTTTCATTACAGGAAACGTGATCAACCTACAAATACGAAAATGTAGTCTCGCCATTTTTTGTCGTGGATGATGGAGGGTGTTGTCAGAAATATATCCAAAAGTGTTAGTATTCTTTCTATATCCATCAAATACTGAACCCTCATTGATGTTTTTTTTACTGAGATATCCTTATTTTTCAATTTATACTTTATATTCATAGATCTGTTGTTGATACTTGATGCAAAGTTCTCCACCCATCTCCTGAACTGGGTTTTGAAATTTGATTGGGTCTCTCTGAAAGAAATATCAAAAGATATGGTTTGTTTTGAGAGTAATATTTAATTTTTGTCGCAAAGCTTACAACAAAACAATGAAAACAGCTATATTATCAAGAAATCAAAGGAGAAAGATGTCTTCTATGTGACATTGAAAACGGCCCTTGAAATAAAATATCAAATTCGCTGCTCAAGATGGTTTTAGAAGCAAACAATACATTCAGAATATATAAATCCTCAATCTGCCAAAAATTCACACTCCAGGCGATTTGGTGAAGACAACGTGTTAGGAATCACACGTTAAAAGGTAAGACCTCGTTAATCCTTAGCTCGCACAAGTTTCGACTTCTGAGGGTTGTCGTTCGTAGGGGTGCGACAGCTGGTTAACGGAAAAACAGATTTTTTTAAACAGACAGATCTCTGCTATAGATTTTCCTACATGTAAAATGGCCGGATATAGCTGGAAAAACTGTTCAAAACCCTATCGATTTCACGACCCACCTTGATTCGCATTTTTGAAAACAATATGTACAATACAAAGTTTATGAATGCAATTGAAAACAATGAAGAGCTACTATTCCTGGATATTTTGGTTATAAAATTATGATGAGGGTTTATAATATGATTTATATATCAGATATATCCCTGACAGCTATCACAATTGTCAACAAGAAAAAAGCAATACTACATTTTCTTGTACATTGGTCGGTTGATCATTCTTCCCTTAAACAAAGATACAACATAAGGAAGAAAATTATTGAAGAAATACCTGAAAGTAATGGGTATCCTTCAGACATAATAAGTTGATTACGAAACAAACATTTAGTATCCTTCGTAGCGCCCCAATCGGATCTCCGGGTGGAAGCTGATTCGAGGGCATCATCCTACAGGAGTTATTCGAAAACCACTATTTCTGACAATTCTTAGCAACTGCAGTTGTAACTTCAATTTCTGCAACATCAGAGGACAACTCAAATTACAACCATTACACCAACATCTGCAAACAAATAGTCCTTATATTCTTGAAACCAGTCAGTGCTTCAACAAATCCCGTCAATTTTCTATATCCCGGCTATGATTTCCACTCCCGATTCAGACATTACTTTGGAATATCTCTTTTTATCATAAGCGATCTCTCCTGTCAAGAGAGGAAATGCAGGAAGCCCAAAACTTTGATATTATGTGGTTTAAAATAATATCACAAAAGATCACTAAATTCATATGCTTTGTCGACCACCAAGTGATTCACAATATAGGGCACTATTTTCTTCACTTGCAAATATTATTGACATTCTGCAAATCAATTATCCCAGTGCCGAAATTTCCATATCCGATGACTTCAATGTCTACAATAGTGAATGGCTCAAATTTTGAAATATCAACGACGAACAAGGTCGCGAAGCTGAGGCTTTTGCAATAAGCAGCGGACTTTCTCAGATTATAAATGAGCCAACCAGTATTCCTGTCCGTGATGGAGAATATGCTTAATCTTCTGGATCTATACCCAACAACCAATCCCGAAATTTACACAGTCACCGTAAGATCTCCATTGGGAACTTCCGACCACAAGATCATTTCATTGTTGAGTGAATTAGCGATAACTAATCGTTGGGGAACAATCTAAGCCGCGCAAAGTTTGGCATTACAGATCTGCTGAGTGGGAGCATCTTCAAGACCATTTCCGAAATTTCCCCTGGCTAGATGTTTGTTTTGGCTCTAATGAACCACAACTTGTGCTTCTAAAGTCACGGAAGTTATTCTATCATCCATGGATGCATATATTCCTTTTTCAATGAAACGAACTCCTGGTTCAACAACTACGCACTTTGGTTCAACAAAAATTGTGAGCAAGCTGTGGCCTCCAAAAATCTCGCCTACCGACAGTGGCGCAAAAATCCCAGTGCCAAAAACCAACTAGGTTTATTAATGCTCGCAATAGCTGCAAACTTGAGAATAAACGAAAACGGTAGCTAAAGCTTGTAATCAAAACTTTACAAAATCCACAATTCCATCACTAACACAAGCGTATGGTTCAATTGCAACAACAGCCATAGAAAAAGCAAATCTACTAGCTGGACAATTTGCGTCCCACTCCAAAGTCGATTTTCTGTGAAAGGCACCACCCATTTCCACACTAGAATCCACAATGCTGGAAATTACTTTTTGACAACATCTAATCAGGCGAATTTTGAAACAGCTCAATATCAACCAGGCGTCCGGTCCTAATGAAGTACCTACTCGTCTTCGTACTTAAAAAGTGCGCAAATGAACTCCCACCAGTATTTTGCAGACTTTGAATGGCATGTAGCCTATTCACAATAAGGGCAAGGAAAGTCTCTCAAATAACTATTCAACATCTTGAGCGATCATCAATATGGCTTCCGGAAACAAGGGTCAACAAGCGACCTTCTATCGTATGTCACCCATATTTGATATTTCTAAGGCCATTGACCGTGTGCAGCATGAGGGTTTGCTGGACAAACTTCCATGCTATGGCTTGTCGGATCATTTTTGTATATAGCTGTCCAGCTTCCTAAAAGAACGTTACCTCCAAGTGGCCGTCGATGGATATCTCTCGAATACTTTTACCAATATTTCCTTATGGTATCACATCAGCTCCATCGTTGTTTCAGAATATTATGGAACAGTTGTTTGTAATGCCAGGAGTTGTCTGTTTTCTAGACGACATTTTGATAACTCCAGAAAATGATCAATTACATCTTGAAAAACTCAAAAAATTTCTGAAACGGCTTCAATATTGTGGGTTGAAGGTAAAAAAAGATAAATGTAGCTTTTTTCAGAAATCAGTGAAATATTTAGGTCATATAATCGATGAATATGGCTTACACACTTCGAATGAACGTGTGTTAGCTATCAAAAATGTTTCGTCTCCCAAAACGGTCACAGAATTGAAATCATTTTTGGGAATGATCAATTTTTATGGCAAGTTCATTCAAAATGCATCAGATTTAATGAAGCCTTTGTATAGTCTCTTGAAAAAAAAATACGAAGTGGTTTTGGTCAAAAGAGTGTCAGAAAAAAGTTTCGATAAAGCTAAAATCATGTTAATATCCTCTTCCGTACTAGCACATTTTGACCCCCAAAAAAAATTAAATTAACTGTGGACGCGTCACAATACGCATTTGGAGCAACATTGAGTCACATATTTGATGATAATTTAAAAAAACCAATTGCTTTCGCCTCACGATTACTTAACAAAGCCGAACTTAATTATTCTCAATTCAAAAAAGAAGCAGCAGCAATAATTTTCGGCGTGAAAAAAAATTTCATTTGTATACGGCTCACAAACCGTTGTTGACTATATTCGGGGATAAAAGGGGTTTACCAATATTTGCTGCTAATCGATTGCAAAGGTGGGCTCATATTCTTTCAGCCTTCACGTATGATATAAAATATGTTAAATCCGAAAATAATTCTGCAGATTTTTTATCTAGAAACCCGGTACATAATCCAGAAGACGAGATTAGGAAGAATAATTATTTGAATTCAGATTCAGACACCTCGTATATTGAATTTACTCAAATTTACCAATAAATTTCAAAAATACCACAGATGCTATTTTAAGCAAGGTTATTTTTTATGTTAGGACTGGCTGGCCTATTGTTTGCCCTTCAAGCCGTACTTTTTACGGAAAAACGAGATTGCAATTAAACGGGACTGTGTCATGTGGGGATATCGATTAATAGTTCCCCAAAAATGCCGGAAATATATATTAGATGAGTTACTCAGTAGGCAACTGGGTATGGTGAAAATGAAAACCTTGGCTCGATCCTATGTGTGGTGGCTCTCACTTGATAGTGAAATCGAAATGAAGGCAAAAACGTAATCCTGCTCAAAATATTTTAGTAGAATCATAGACAAGGTTGCATGCGGATTTTTTTGGGCTGTTGTTCAATAATAATTTTTTGGTTGTGGAAGATGCAACTTCCAAGTGGATTGAGTATGTGGAAGTTCATGATATTACCACTTCCACAACCATAAAAATTTTTAGAGAAATGATTTCCAGGTTTGGGTTACCCTTTGGAATATGCACAGCTAATGCAAAAACTTTCACATCGGAAGAGTCAGAATTTTTTGCGAGCCAGCGG